CTATTTTATGCTTATAATTACACAATACTGTCAGACTACTACTTCATCATCTTTTCCCAAACTTCTTATAGTCTTTGTGAGTCTCTGAAAATAATCTCCTTTTATGTAATTATTTACTCTAGGATCTTACCTGTCTCTTTTACTGCTGTATTTTCTAAAGCAGGTAGACAGAGGAGTTACCTACAATTTACTTATGTAGTGAATCAACAAGACTTCTTCTCCTAATCTGTCAAGTTGCACATAAATGAATTTTTCTGTGAGAATTTATTCTTACAACCAAATTTTCTTTAAGAAGTACAGTTGAGCTGAACTATTTGAGGAAAAAGCTTCTTAAGGAGTCTGTCTATAAATCCTTTAATATGGAGTGACATCCAACTTTTTTTTAAGCATTTTTCCCCCCTAAGGACCTAATAATTTTCCTGTTCATAGAAGCTATAGTAGTGAATGGAAAGCAAATGATTAAAGCCACATTTTAATTTCGAAACAAAAGAGGTTATCAATGTTGCAGTGCTTTGGTATTGTTCTTCATTTTGCCCTTTGAAAACTGACATAATCTTGTTGCTCCAAAGGATGTTCTTTAGGCAGGAAAAGAAGAAACAAAAGGTTTTAGCCTTTGGAAACAAGGCAACTTTGTTTTAAATATAAAGATGGCTGTACTTGTCCAGCAGGTTGAATGCTGGTGTTTGACAATGACTTTTGAAATAACTGAGGAAAAGAAAAGCACCGAGTGCAAATAAGGCTCTGAGGTGGAAGCTGTGACAATCTTCCCTCTTATTTGCCTCTGTCCTCAAACATCGCATCATGGGAGTCTGATAAAAGACAAATACAGATTTCAAAAACTGGCAAAATAGACATTAAAGTTCCAAGTTTCCAGCAATTTATTTGCTAATCAATCCATGTTTCTCTAGCAACATTTCCCCATTTTTATGAAAGTGGTCATGTATAATGTTTTGTTAATTTTTGTAGGATAAGGAAATTTCTCCTATCCTTGTGTGAGAAGCCCCCTTTTCCTTTGTAGTTGGGTGTTAAGAGCTTATTTTCGGAGCTGATAGTCTTATGATTAGGGACAAAATTTTTGTAACTCTGTTGTTACCAGAAGGATCTTTCTCCCAGCCCTGGAATGTTTCCAGTTTTCCATGTCCTGTTTCCTTTCAACGGTGACAGCACAGTCCAAGCAATCTGGGTAGTTCCGGCATTACCCGAAATGGTGACTTCAGGGTGGTGACTCAAAATATTTACTTCACTCATGTGTCACAGAGTAGCTGCCAGTTCCAGCCAGGTTGTGAATGAGCTTCTTGTCTGCTTGTGTGGAGAGCCAGGCCTTCCTTTCTCCACCCCCTCTATTCACATTTCCTTTGAGGGAAACCTCTGCCTCAGGTTGAATCAATTTCTTTAAAACTGGGACTCTGGAAACAACATTCTGATTAGTAAAGAAGGCTTCCTCTAGAGTAAACTTCTTGAAAAGATGAATATTTTGGTTAGAATTCTTGAAAAACTGAATTAGCTAAATCTATTCCTTCTGAGGGCTAAGCTTCTTTGTGTTTGTAGGTCAGTTCCTTTTGGAAATAGTATTATATTGCTATATAGTATATACCATCGCTATATAATTTATAATTAATTATCTAATGATTAGATAATTACTTAATAGTATAATGCAATTTATAATCATAATCATCCAATAATTGATAGATAATTACAAATTATGTAATTATCAAAGTTATATATCATAGTATATTAATGGATGATAAAAATAATTGTGTTATCAATATGTGCTAAGGTGGGCTTTAGTAGCAACATGCTGCAATTATAAAGACATCCTCCATCTTAACCACTTAAAAGATTATTTCTTGTTCTTGTACTATCGAGTGTAGGTCACTTGGCTGGCTTAATTGTATGTGGCAGGGGCTGTTCTTTATTATTATTATTAGTAGTAGTATTTTATTAAGTAGTAGTACAAGAGGTTCTATTCTATAAGTCAGGTTATGAGTACAATGCATCTTTATCATTGTTCTCCCATTGTTATCCTTCCCATCCTTCCCCTCAATTTACAGAGTTCAATTTTTATATAATGCCCATTGAGTGTAATGAGTGAATTTGTTTACTCTTCCTCCCTCCATTTGTGTGTCCCCTTCTGTTCCCTCTCCCAACATATTTATGCATCCTGGTATTCATTATGTTAAACAGTTCATTAGTCCACAGTATAGTGTAACAGCCCCATGGGTGGCAGAGAAAACACAGATCCATTAAAGAAAGCACCAATCCATTAAACCAACTTGAGCTGCCATAGCTGCCCTTACTGCCACAGCAGCCCTTACTGTGCAGGCAAGGTTCTGTGGTCTTTACTGAACTGTTGGAGGACGGCAAGTGTAAGTGAGCCTATGCATTGCTTGGTCACTGGTATGTAGTATCTGGTTAGGACGATATTGTGAACATTGGCTCCTAAAGCAATCCAAACCCTGTTAGAAGCTTTGGTTTTCATGGCAAAAGAACACACACTAGTGAGTTCCATTTCTCCTTTTCCCCTCCCTCTGCATATAAAGGGGTGCTTTTGTAATGTCTGACCAAAAACTAATGGTTTTTACACCCTAAATAAATGCCTTTGGTGGTTAAAATATTTATTTTTTTCACAGGATCAGAGAATTAAAAGAATAATACAGTACAACTCTTTATTTGGTGGATGATGCTTAATATTAGTAAATTCTCGTATCTTGGAGTTCATTCACTTAGCATCATCTTATACAGTCAAATGTACATACCTATTGAGCTATTTTGCTCATCTGCTAAGATTATCCTAGATGTGTACTATTTATTACAAGTAAGGGAAACTATGGGACCTATGTTTCTTTGGGTCTGGCTTACTTCTATTAATACATTTTTTTCAAGTCCTTCCCTTTCCTTACAAATGGGGCAGTGTCATTCATTCTGATGGAAGCCTGGAATTCCAGAGTGTGTGTGTGCGTGTGTGTGTGTGTGTGTGTGTGTGTGTGTGTGTGTGACATTTTCTTGATCCATTCATCTACTGAGGGGCATCTGGGTTGGTTCCATATCTTAGCTATGGTAAATAATGCTGCGATAAACATAGTTGTGCTGGTAGCTTTAGTATGGCCTTGTTTGGGATAGTTTGGGTAAATGCCTAAAAGTGGGATTTCTGGGTCATAGGGGAGCTCTATTTGGAGTCTTTTGAGGAACCTCCATACTTCTTTCCAGAGTGGTTGGTGGTTGAACAAGTTTACCCTCCCACCACCAGTGCAGTAAGGTTCCCTTTTGGCCACATCTCCTCCAGCATCTGTTGTTATTACATTTCTTGATTATAGTCATTCTAACTGGGGTGAGGTGGAATCTCAGTGTTGTTTTGATTTGCATTTCTTTTATGGCCAGAGATATTGGCCATGTATCTATTGGCCATTCTTATTTCCTCTTCAGAAAAATCTCCCTTTAAGTCTTTAGCCCACTTATTAATGAGGCAGTTGTTTTTTTGAGGATTTGTTTTTGGGAGATTTATAAGAGCTTTTTCTTTGTTGTTGTTGTTTTAATCTACTATGTGATTTCTTTTTTCTTTTGTGTTTTTTTTTTCCTATGGTTTATCCTCTGTTGTCACTGTATTTTAATTTGGTATCCTGGACATTGTATATATGTTTATTTGCATTAGGGAAGAGAAACTGAACAACAAAATGGTGAGATAAAAGACAAAGTGTAAACCAATGCAACAGCGATGCTCACAAGGCATCATGTCGGAAATTATCTGTATACCTTGGAGGGTAGGGAAAATGGGAGAAAAATGATGGAGAGAGTAACAAGTTCAACTAGATAGATATGTACTCACTACCTTACATATGTAACTGTAACCCCTCTGTACATCACCTTGATAATAAAATTAAATTTAAAAAAAGAGAAGAGAGAGAGAAAATTCTCATTAATTATTTTCAATTCTTTTAACTGGTCTAAAGTCTTCAGACTGAATAATCATAAACACTCCCTGGAATATGGGGTGGTCACGGGCTTGACTGAGCTAAGTCTTTTGATGACATTGATATGATGGTTTCCACTCAGAATTGAGATGTATCTACTGTTTTTGTCCAATATAGTTATTAAAACACATACTTAAAGAATGATTATTATAAATAGATTGTAAGAGAAGCAAACCTGACTTTAAAAATAGTTTTTCCTTCTCAAAGTATTTCACAGATTTATTTCTTTTAACTTTCAACTTGGCTAAATCTACATATTTCAGAGGAAATAGATATTTTTCTACAGTAGCTTGCATTCATGTCTAGTATCAGAAATAAATTTCTCAATAGTGGAGGGCTAAAAAAATAAATGTTTCAGTGTAGTGTGCCAAATATGTCTTCTGGACTTTAACTTTTGTATTTTAAGATCATTGGTGGTTGTCTTAGGTATGTATCTTAATACCTATAATGTAATAAGATGTTCCTACACTTTAGTTTTCATAAATATCCTTATACCACAGAAAGAACTTCAAAGAATTTGATTTGTGGAAACTATTTATTTAATACTTAAATATTTAGCAACTTAAGAATTAGAAACTTTTATAGTTACTTTTTTTTTTGTGGTCATGGAGCTTGAACTCTGGGCTTGGGCGTTGTCCCTCAGCTCTTCAGCTCAAGGTGAGCACTCTACCACTTGAGCCACAGTGCCACTTCCAGTTTTCTCATGGTTTATTGGAGATAAGAGTCTCACGGACTTTCCTGCGTGGGCTGGTTTTGAACTGTGATCCTCAAATCTCAGCCTCCTGAGTAGCTAGGATTACAGATGTGAGCAATAGTTATATTTTTACATCTACATTATTATAATTGATGTTGTTGATGACAGTGAGATATGTATTCTTTTTACTAATTAGTTGAAAATAACAATATAAATATATGTATATATGCACAATGCAGTACTGGATTAGTCAAAGATATACTGTTTGTAATCTGGTTAGACATAAACTCTCTTATACATTGTATTTGATCCTCACCTTTCACAATGTTTTTCCTCAGGCAACAGAGATTATGCCAAAGATGACCCATTGGAGTTTAAATCCCATCAGTGGTTTGGAGCATCTGTAAGGTCAAAACAAGATAAAATTTTGGTAAGTCTTGGATATTTCCTTGCAAATGATTTTATTTATGCAGAGACATAGAAGTCTTTTTTTTTTTTTTTTTTTTTTTGGCTTTTGGTGCCAGTTCTGAGGTTTGACTTAAGGTCTGGGTACAGTCCCTGAATTTTTGTGCTCAGGGCTAGTGTTCTACCACTTGAGCCACAGCTCCACTTCTGGCTTTTTGGTGGGTAATTGGAGATGAGAGTCTTATGAACTTCCCTTTCTTTCAAACTATGATCCTCAGAGCTCAGTCTCCTGAGTAGCTAGGATAACTGGCTTCAGACATAGAACTCTTTTGTTTTCAAGCAGATGGTAAACTTCTGTATGATCAAAGTTACCAGATATAATGAAGTAAGAGCTCTCAAAGGCCACCTATAAGAGGGTACCACCTTCTCTTGCCCTTCTACAACTAGGATTCTGTGTCTTTCACTTCCATGCCTACACTGTTCATTTTCCTTATCTACTTGGTAGTTTTCACCTGTTTCTTTCTATCCAGTCAAGTTGAAGAACTCTGTGCTTTTGAGTACTACAGTATTACAGTATTGTATTGGTACTTGGACAGTATTGGTATTACAGTATTTCTTGCTTCCATTCTCAAGCTGTTTTTTTTTCTCCTGTTGTTGGTGTTGTGTTGGTCCTTGGGCTTGTTCTGGGTGCTGTCCCTGAGCTTTTTTGCTTAAGGTTAGAGCTCTACCACTTGAACCAACAGTTCTACTAGATTCAGGTTTTTGGTGGTTAATAAGACTCTCACAGAGTTTCCTACCAGCTGACTTCAAACCACAGCCCTCAGATCTCAGTCTTTTTAGTAGCTAGGATTACAGGCATGAGTCACTGGCACCTGACTTCAAGCAGTGATTATGTCTTCTATTCTAACCATCTCCACACTTCACAATCTGGCATGGATGGAAGTCACAATTGTCTTTCAAATGGTTAAAATCCAATATGTTCTTTCAGCTGGGAGGATAGTGGTCTAAGTCTGGTCCCAAGGAAAAAAAGAATATGGCTTGAGTGATAAGGTTCCTGCCTTGAGGCCAAGAGTTCAAACCACACACACACACACACACACACACACACACACACACACACACACACACACACACGAGCATGACCATGAGCATGACCAAAATGGAGTCTTTTTATAGTCCATCAAAGAGCACTAACACATATATGCTTCCTTTATAAATTCTTCCCTTAATTATTTTAAGATTATGGTCTTTTCCCCCTCCATCAATGAGTCCTGCCTAATCTGCCTTCAAAATATGTGCCACACATGAATCGATCCCCATTTGCCTTATTTCCATACTGCCATGACCGTAGCTGTGACTTACCTGGGCCAGTGCACCAGTTCTTACCTCCCTGCCCCCTGTCTAGCTCCAGCTACTATCTCTTCTCCATAGAAGTAACCAAGGGAATCAGAGCATTTCACCTACCTTCGTGATGAAAACAGTTGAATGTCTTTCTTTTGTCCCTAACTAAATAATAATTCCCAGAATAAATATCATCCTGGCTTATAAATATCTCCAAACTCAGGTTACAGGCTGTTTCTTTGGCAACATTTCACTCCATCTTATGTATTTCAGTTATAGTGGTCTTTTTATTTATCTCTCCTGCCTGCCAGGTTATTTCCAATTTGTACCTTAGTGTTGGTCTTTTCAATGGGAGGAAAGTCATACAACAGCTCTTTGTCATTCAGATTTCAACTTTAATTTCGTTTCCTCCTAGAGCCCTTCTCTGTTTTAATTGCCCTTGTCCTTTTATTTATGTGGTTAGGGAGAATTTTGTTTGCAAGTGAAGTTTCCACAGGGCTTTTAGATGATTTGTTGAACTTTAGCAGTTGGAGATGAATGATGGGATTTAGAAGGGGTATGCTAGGCAGAGAAACAAGAAACAGAAATAAGCAGTCACCCACCTTGGAGCATCAAGGATGTATAGAGCCGTAATGGCCCCTCCTTTCAGTTTTGTCAGAGCAGGTATAAAACCCATTGCTAATGTCTGCAATGTATATGCTTTTTTACCAAAATCATGACAGCAGTCCATTGACTTTTCTATTACAGAATTAAGTTCTTATACTTTAGGTAAGTTCTTATGGCACTGAAATATATGTTATTTCAACATTCCTATATAGTCTTTAAATTGGAACTCTGAAAACAGAAAGTTCACAGTAGTTAAGATAAGCACTACAAATTCCTTTATTCTCTTATGAAAGTATTTGTCACTTAACTTAGGGGTGTATTCTACATATATAAGAAGGTTATTCAATTCAAAAGTTGATTTAGTCTGTGACTGTCAGCTTAGCATAGAACATCAAGAAACATGCTAGCCGGAGTAATAATTTTGTTATTTTGAAATTATATATGGACTAAAAACATGAGCTTCAGAAGAACGTGAGAAACACACTTACTTTATAAGTCCTTCTTCATGAGAAGTTAGATTTTTTTATTAAGACTTAAAAACTGTTTTTTTTTTTCATATCAGGTGCTAGTGGCCCGTGAGTATAATCCTAACTACTTAGAAAGTTGAGTAGGATGTCAAGGTTTGAAGCCAGACCCAGAAGAATACTCCATGAGACTTTTATCTCCAAGTAACTAGTAAAAAGCCAGAAGTGGACATGTGGCTCTAGTGGTAGAATATTAGCCTTGAGAGAAAAAGTCGAGTCAAGTGAGAATGTGAAGTTCTGAGTTCAAGCCCCAGTAACATACGCTCACACACACACATACACACATATACACACACATGATCATTCTGAGGTCTTATAAATGGCCTAAATCGTGATAACTTGTCATGAATTGAACTTTCGGTTGTAGGCCTGTGCTCCATTGTACCATTGGAGGACTGAGCTGAAGCAGGAGAGAGAACCCGTTGGAACTTGCTTCCTTCAAGATGGCACCAAGACTGTTGAGTATGCTCCCTGCAGGTCAAGTATGTATAGAAAGTTGTACCTGCTGCTCACAAGAGTGGTGGGGAGCCTACTTCATTAAACATGTATGTGTGTGAGTGTGACTCTACATGTGTGATGCAATATGTAGGCTTTGTGAGCTTGGACAGCAGAATGAAAACAGACCTACTAATGAGAAAAGAATTGTACATATCCAGTAGATAGTATTTGATTGGCAGTTATTCAGTTATTAGTTATTCTTAGCAATTATGAGCTATTGTTAGTAATAGATGATTTGGAGACTTTTTTTTATTAAATCACACTTTGTAAAAGATGCTCATTTGAGCTTCTCCGACAGAGATCTGGATCTTCACATGCAAGATGCTGATGCAGTAGTTTTAGGCTAAGCTGGGAGACCTGTAACAAACTCTACAAAGTAATTTTGATGACACCAAAATTTAAGAATCAATTTTTTTTTTATTATTAATGATGTTAAAGTAAAAAATTATTCCTTAGAAAGCCACAGATTATATATGAAGATGATTATTGAGTTTGAGAGTCTTCAGTTGATATTTCCATTATTATTCACCTTTCTTTTTTGGGTGTTATTTATTTTATGGACTTATTATATTTTATAGTCTTGAAGTAGCTTCTTCTCATTTAGACTTGCTGTGCTTTTTTGCTTCCAAGCTCACTTTTTCTCACCTGTCTTTTGCTATTGATTGATTTTGGTTGAAATGTCAAAAATGACTTCATAAATTTACCATTTTGATTGTGCTTTTCTGTAAATCTTATTTCCCATTGGAGATTGCAGTTCTTTTTCTCCTGTACTTTTTGACGAATTGGCCACTACTTCAGATCCTCCTCTGCAGCACCAAATTCCCCTTGTCTAGAGGGGTCACTGCAAGGTGTACCCTAAAACTACACATGGTAGTGAATCCTAATCATTACCATGCTTTTGCCAAAGCATACATACTATAATAAAATTTAATTCATAAATTAGGCACACTAAGAGATTAACAATAATAACTACTAGTTAAATGCAACAATTATAATTACATACTATCTATAAGAAATATTACTGTGGGCCATGTGTTCAGCAGCTCATAGCTATAATCCTAGCTACTCAGTAGGCTGGGATCTGATGATCTTGGTTCAAAGCCAGCCCGTCAGGAAAGTCCATAAAACTCTTACCTCCAATTAATCACCAAAAAGAGTGAGAAGTAAAGCTGTGGCTCAAGGGTAGAGTGCTAATCTTGATCAAAAAGCTTAGCGACAGTGCCCAGGCCTGAGTTAAAGCCTAAGTACTCCCCCCCACCTCCACAAAAAGAAAAAATAATTTTCCCTTTAGTATTTTCCATATGTGATTGACAGCTAAGGGATGACCATTGTACAGTATAAGACTACTTTGTAGGCCATTGCATTTTATGTTCCACTGATCGTAAGTAATTGAGCAGAGGATTAGTAGCAAAAGTACAACATAGAATACTCTTCTTACTGGAGTTCTTTTCTTCCAAGGTAGGCAACATGTGACACCAGGTCAAAGTAGACGCTTGATTCTTAAAATTCTAAGTATTTGAACCTCTAGGAAGTTTCAGGTTGTTTCACTGAGCACTTACATTTCTTCATCAAGATCGTTTCTCTCATGATCCTTCCTGTTGTAGGTGGTAAGTAAAATCAAAAGAATGATAACTATTCAAATCTGTGTTATGTGAGTAAAGAGTCAGACAGAGTACCCTGCACAGGAGGAAGTGGGAGGCTTCATCGTCGGGGTGTGAGGCTAGTGGTATCGCCATCATCAGCTTGGAATGTTGCCTGTGCCACTGTCCTCTTTGGTAGGGAAAACTTGTATTTTAAATTTCTATATTGAAAAAAAATTCTTCCAAAAAAAGTTATGAAGAGGGGCTGGGAAGGTGGCTCAGTGGTAGAGCGCTTGCCTTGCATGCCTGAGGCCCTGGGTTCAATTCCCCAGCACCACATAAGCAAAAAGAAAAAAGCCGGAAGTGGCGCTGTGACTCAAGTAGTAGAGCGCTAGCCTTGAACTGAAGAGCTGAGGGACAGTGCCCAGGCCCAGAGTTCAGGCCCCATGACCGGACCTCTCCCCCGCCCCAGAAAAAAAAGTTATGAAGAAGGCCTGCACCTTCTGCGTCAGAGTATAGCTTATTCATATGATGTGCATTCATGTACATGTACACACATAGAAACTCTCTCCTATCCTCTACTCCCTCCCCCATTTCCCCACTTTGTCCTTGGGCCTTATTCTCATTTGAAAAGTTTAGATATAGAGACAGTTGGAACAATTGTTTTTCCTAAAGTTCTTAGTGGTCAAATGAACACTTGAACCCAAGTCTTTTCTAGTTTTCATTTTGGTTCTGGGGATTGAACACGGGGTCTGATGCATGCTAAGCACCTTATACCACTGAGTACCAACTCCTTAATTCTAAAGAACTTATTCCCTGCATTACAACAGAAAATGCTTTCCACTGCAATTACTTCTTTTTAAATGTGGCTTTTGTACAAATAATACTTCTGGCCTTTGTGTGTGCGTGTGAGAGAGAGGGGGGGGATTGAGAGAATACACATTTTATTTTATTTTTTAATTTAATTTTGGAGAATACACATTTTAGAAATGGTTCTCCCTGTATCTGTGACATTATGTTTTGTCTGTTTGATTTAGGCATAGAGATTTTAATGTAATTTAAAGCCATAGTTTCTCATATATTTTGTGTCCAGATCAGGTGAGCAAGTGATAGTTTGTGAATCTGTTTTAGTAAGTAAAGTTTTGTTGGGGAATTACAATACCTATTTGTTTATGTCACCTTGGAGAGCTGAATACTTCTGTAGTTGCTACAGAAGTACAGTGCACTGTACTTTCTCTAGTACTCTCTTGGCCCCTAAGCATAGAATATTTACTGTCGTGACCTTTACAGAAAGGTTTATTGAACTTTGATCTAAATAATAAAATCTTAAATCTTAGGAAAAGCTTAAAACACAATCTCATAAACACACAAAAAAGACTGAAACCCTTTCTTCCTAATAAGTCTGGCTTTTAGCAGCCCTGATTATTGTATGCCTTTGGTTTAATCTACCAAGCTACCTAGAGGTTCAAATTAAGAGAAGAAAACCTCAGGAGCAAAGCTTGAAAATATAGGTTATAATTTCCAATTCTTTAGTGGTGGGTAAACTCACTTAGCAACTCTGGGCCCTATTTCATTATTGGTAAAACATTAATCCCAAAAAAGCACTCCAGAGGTACAATACTAGTATTTTATATTTGCTTCATTCTGCAGTAAATTATACAACCCAGTAATTGACTTCACGTGATGATGCTAGTTTTGTAGAGCTACATGGCTAACTGCTTGATAACTATGCTTGTTTTGGTTATAGTAGTTTCTGGACGGGGTAGTTTGTTTTTGCTTATTTGGGTTTTGGTTTGGTTGGTTGATTTTGTTTTTAACATGATCCACATGCTTACCCTAGAAAAGGAACTTCACTGTCTTCTACCAACTTACCTTATTACTGAGTACGATTGCTTCTGGCTTTTTTCATAATTATATCTGTGATCATTCCTGGAATTGCACAATAAACTAAATGTCCATATGTTATAAAAGTGCCTAAGCCACAAGTCATATGATGTAAATATCCTTTCAACACCACACACAGACTAAGTCCTTTTTTTCTTCTATCTCTATTATCTCTGTCACACTTGTTGGTGTTTTCTATTCCCCTCACAGAATGAGAAGTATGTTGATTTGAGTGAGAGGGTGCAACATAGTACTAAAGATATGTCCAGATATGGGCCCATACTCCTAGCTAGCTGGTAGGCCACTGACAATTTACATAGTTTCTCTAAGTCTTATTTTCCTTATCTGCAAAAATGATGAATAATATTAATAGTAATTTTAATAGTAATTAATAGTAATTTTAGGATTACTATTAAGATTTGAAAAGAAAATGCCACGAGAAGTGCTTTAACACAGTACCAAATTGGTAGTAAGGGTGTAATAGATAAGTTAATCTTTCTATTGTAATCAGTAATATTTACACTTATTATATCACTGGTCTTAACTAGTGGAAGAGTAACCATCTGTAGAAACAACACCACAGCCTTCACTGAAACAAGTTGTGTTCAACATGAATGTTTTAAAGTTACAAATTGTAAGAAATACTCGGCTTAGTGTATACCTGTTCATGAAGTTTTAAGGAGTAGTTATGTGTTTCAGCTGGATATTTTGGAAATCCAAATAAAGCAGATAGTTTTACAGTATGGTAATCAAAAAAAGCTGTCTTTATAAATAGCCTACAATAGTTCCCCAGATGTAGCTTAAATAAAGGAAACACAAAGCCAACTTGAGGTTAGTGCAGAATTCCTTGTATGATTCACTTGACACTAGAAATCCCAGACCCACATTTTCCCACTCCCTCTTGGCTAGACAAATTTACATTGGAGTAGTATTACACTTTTGTGGCCATTTTCTTAAAATAAAATTAGATTTTTAGTGTGTAATCTTGTGGGCAATTCCAGGTTTTAAAAATGGGTTCAACTTTTTTGATGGAATTATTTTAACAAAAAATTTATTTTGGAAGTTCATCCCTATGACTGAAAATAGATAATTTTGGTCCCTATATTTGGTGATTAATACAGTAGTAACTTTTTGTAAATTTGTAATATTGGCTGCAGGAAATCTTTGATAATGGAAGGATTATGTTCAAAATTAGTTGATTGATTATTTAATTCAGAAGTATCCTTTTTCACAAGAACCACTGTAAAAGTGACAGGGAAAGATTTGCAAAAGAGCGAATCTACGGAATCTCTCATGGTTGGAAAATACTTGAAGTGTCATGCTTAGATATGTTTGCTTTAATTCTCCAGTATTGTATAGTTTGTGAGGATAGTTGTATATTTTGGTCTTGACAGAGCATTAAATTTTGGGATTGTAGTTTTTTTTTTTAATGTTACTAGCATAGGAAGTTTATGGGAAACCTGGCAACTCTGGGGTAATAGTGAAAAACATTTCAGATTGGAGTTTAAAGCTTACAGATAACAGTGCTTTATGTATAGTGGTCACAACTGGTGTGTGTGTGTGTGTGTGTGTGTGTGTGTGTGAGAGAGAGAGAGACAGAGACAGAGACAGAGAGACAGAGAGAGACAGAGAGAGAGAGCTAGAGAGAGAAGACCCAGACCCAGTACTTGGAACTCAAGGACTGGGTGCTGTCCCTGAGCTTTTTTTCTCAAGGCTAGCATTCTACCTCTTCAGGTGCAGCTCCACTTCTGGTGGTTAATTGGAGATAAGCATCTCATGGACTTTGTGTTTTTACTGGCTTTTGCAATCCTGATCCTCAGATCTCATCTCAGTCTTATGAAAATTTGAGCCACTGACTGGTATTATAAAGAAGACATATAATAAAGTAGAAAATGTTACAGTATCAGAATGTTACGTATCAGAATAGTGAAGTTTTGTATACGTATATATTTTATACATACACATACATGATATGTATTTGATTGTGATATAAACTATAATATTGCTGTGTGTTGTGGTTAAAAAAAGAAGTTCTAAAACCACTGTTGCAGTCGATCCTTCTGATTTCTGGTGACTTGTCCAAGTACTTCAGTGTGGCTCTCTTTCTAGATCTGAGGAGACGGTGCTGGTAAATGTGTATGCTAACATTCAGAGTATGATAATAACCAAGTGATTGAATGGCCAATCACAGACATGAATATATTATCTTACATTAATAGTGATACCAGGTTTATCTCATGCTTTGTTTTGTGTTATTTTCTTGTTTTGGGGTTTGTATATATTTCCAATCTTTTCATTTTAGAAAATATTGATGCTGATGGACAGGGATTTTGTCAAGGAGGATTCAGCATTGATTTTACTAAAGTAAGTTCTCACTGAGGATCCAATGAGATTCATCTGCCTTCCTGCCTCAATTGTGGTTAAAAATAACTCCTCATAAATTCTTTCAGCTTCTTATTATATCTGTTATGTGCTAGAAGAAAATAGCTAATAAACAACCCACTCATTTTGACATTCTTTGCTTTCTATTATTCCTTCCCTGGTAAACATTGCTTTTTTTGAAATAGAGAGTCATCACAGGGAGCATGGAGAAAAGTAGGGAATTTTCTCAGTAACGGATGGTGATTCCATATTAAGTTTCTGGAAGTGGAAGATGTCTCAAGGAGTCAGCCATGAGTGAAAAAGCCACATGAGAATGTTAGGTCCTGAGTTCAAATCCCAGGACCAGCACACTCTATAAAATAAGTCCATTTCCATGAATGTATGAAATAGTAAGAAAAATTTTAAACTGAGACTGAATTTTCACAAAAGTTGTCAACAGAAGCTGTGTTCCAGAATTAACTAAGACACATGCGTTTTTGCTGTCTAGTTTATACCTGTGGGTGCCAAACAACACCAGGGCATGAAAAATCTTATGCGTAAATGCTGTGTACTTTCAGCTAAATTCATATGCTCTTCGGAGTTGGCAGATTTGTTGTTGTTGTTTATTTTGTACCAGTACTGAAGTTTGAACTCAAGCCTTATACACATGTTTGGCATTTTTGCTTGCAGCTGGCACTCTCCACTGGTGGAGCTGTACCACAGTCTAGCTTTTTGCTGATTAATTGCAGAGAGAGTTTCATGGATTTTTCTGCCTCGGCTGGCTTCAAACTATGATCCTCAGATCTCAGCCTCCTGAGTAGCCAGGATTACAGGTGTAACCTACTGTTGCCTAGTCAGAGTTGATAATTTTATGTCATCTAAGGTGAAAATTATTATTGAAAATTATATTTTCAAAAATAAATTTTCTTAAGTAATTTTTCTCTCTCTCTCTTTTTTTTTTTTTGCTTTTAATTATTTTCCCCTCTAGAAATACAGTCTTTTTTTTTTTGCAGTTCTGGAGTTTGAACTCAGAGCCTCATGCTTGCTAGGCAGACATTGTACCATTCTAAGTGACATCTTCAAGCCTTTTCTTTACTTTTTGCTTCTTGTCTGGGCATGTGTCTGGACTGTGATCCACATATTTTAGGCTCCCATTATAACTGGGATGATTGGAGTACACTACTATGCCCAGCTGTCAGTTGAGAACATTTTTTTTTTTGGGGGGGTCCGGTCGTGGGGCCTGAACTCTGAGCCTGGGCACTGTCCCTCAGCTACCATTTCAGCCACAGCGCTACTTCCGGCTTTTTTCTTTCTGCTTATGTGGTGCTGAGGAATCGAACCCAGGGCCTCAAGCATGCAAGGCAAGTGCTCTACCACTGAGCCACCTTCCCAGCCCATGTTGAGAACATTTCTGTCTAACCTGGATTCAAACTTTGATCCTCTTGACCTCAGCCTCCAAAGTAGCTAGAATTACAGGTGTGAGCTACTGCACCTGTCTTACATTTTAATATCAAATTGAGATTAATTTGAAGTTGTAAAAATATATTAATTGATTAAAAGTAGTTTCCTGAGTATGTTATGGTGGTGCATACCTGTAATCCTAGCACTTGGGAGGCTGAAGCAGGAGGACCTCAAGTGAACAGCCTGGCTACACAGTGAAATGCTGTGCTTCAAATATGTATAGAGGAAGTTTTCTGAGAAAGTTTATTATGCTTCTCTCAGAAATTGTGGAAAATTAAGAGTGCCTTAAATTTGTAAAAACAAATGAAACTAAAAATCACATGGTAAGGAAGAACTAATAAAACACTTATCTAAAAATGTGTGTCTTTTATTAAATCTCTTATACAATAGATACTAACAATTATTGCTAGGTAACAGATTTTACTAAATATTTGCTTTTGAATGCACTCAGCTTCATATTACTCATAATTCTGAATCTTAGGAAATCAAAGATAAATAAAAATTAGGCTTAAGTTTTTATGAGATGTTTTCAAACAGACATTATTCACATCTGCAGTGTAATGTTCTCTGTACCCATTGCTATGACACTGTTTCCCAGAAGTATTCTTACAGTGTCTCATTGTTAAATTAACAGTTCTTTCCTTAAACCCATTTTGGAAAAATGCTGTTAAGGCTTAACAAGCACGAGATTATTGAAAGTGTGGATGGAATATGCACACATACACACACATACATATGTATATATAGGGAATATGTATATATGTTGGGAGGGAAAATCTCTTGTATACAGCAAGAAAAAATTTCTGTAACACTTTGTTTCAAACACAAAATACTTTGAACTGGTCATAGTATGTTATGGATTTAGGAAATGTTAGTATTGTATAGACCTTTATCCCATAATTTTCTACCTGTTTAAATGTGTGAGACATAAAAGGTAGTTTTCCTTTAGAAGAAAGTTTCTCAACGATTATTAGAATCAATCTTAAAAAGTCACATCTAACATACAAAATTAAAAAGTAATTGTTTCTTATTGTATTTCTACTAGTACCTCAGTTAAAATGTGACAAACAGCCAAGATCTACAGTAAATTTTTTCACATATTAATAAATGTATTGTAATTTTACTTTTTAAACAAACCACTGAAACTGAGTTAGATGAGTTTGAGGTCTATGATTTTTGTTTTAATATATGTACGATCAGTGTAAATACAACATAAATGTCTTTGATTATTATGTGTTTATTGCATTTATTTCTGTTCCAAAGCTGTATTTAAGTATGTATTCTTTTGTTCTATGCTTCAATCCAGGCTGACAGAGTACTTCTTGGAGGTCCTGGTAGCTTTTATTGGCAAGGTAGGTTAATATTCTAACTCATTCATTAATGCCTGTGTGTTTCTGAATGACCAGCATTTTCATGCACCCATGAAAAATTTCAAATTATTATAAAGAAATGTGAAATGTAATTTAAATATGTACTCTATATACCATGTATTATAAAGAATGTAGAATACACCAAATGTTAATGTTATGCATATATTCTACTAGAAAATAAAAAATCCTCAGCTGGTGGTTCATGTCTGTAATCCAGCTGTTCAGGAGGCTGAGATCTGGGGATCCGGGTACGAAGCCAGCTCAGGCAGAAAAGTCTCCATGAGACTTTTTGTTGTTGTTGTTTAAATGACTATTTTTTTTAATTGTAAAGGTTATGTACAGAGGGGTTACAGTTATATATATATGTCAGGTATTGAGTACATTTCATTTTGAACAGTGTCCTGTAAGACTCTTATCTCTGATTAACTACTCAAAACACAGAAGTAGAGCTGTGGCTCAAAGTGGTAGAGTGCTAGCCTTGAGCAAAAGAGCTCAGGGACAGCACTCAGGACCTGAGTTCAAGCCTCACAAGTGACAAGAAAAAAAATCCTTATAATAATTTACTAAATAAATATTTATGGTTATTTAAAATAATACCTTGTTGTTGCATGTGGTATATACGTCTGCTTTTCAGACGCTCAAGCATTAGTAAGTGTAAAACCCATCAGTATAGGCAAGACTGTGGCATTCTAAAAACTCAGGGTTAAAAAGTATTTTGAAATTGTTCATGAGAATACCAAAATGATGATTTTCTTTCAATCAAAAGTGCTTTCTTAAATGTTGAAAACTTTTAATAATAAATGATCTCATTAAGTGTTTAAAAATATATCAAACTGGGAAGTGATGTAAAGTAAAACATTATATTTAGTCTCTGGAAGCCTAATTACATTACCATTTGAGCTTGCACTGGTTGGTAATGCCAGTAATCCTAGCTTCTCAGGAAAGCTGAGATCTGAGGATCATGGTTCGAAGCCAGCCCAAGCAGGAAAGTCCATGAGATTCTTATCTCTAATTAACCATCAAAAAAAGGTGAGAACTAGAGTTATGGCCATGTAGTAGAGCACCATCCTTGAGTGATAAAGCTCAAGGACAGCATCCCTGAGTTCAAGCCCCAGTACTGGCACCAAAAAGCAAAAACAAACACCACACCAGTTTGCGCAGAATTTGCTTTTTGTCATAAGTATTTTGTTATAATGAATATTTTCGTAGATCTCAGAATTGTCTCTAAAAGAATAGAAAATGTTTCTTCAGGTCTGGCTTACTCAATACCATTTTTTCCAAGTCTTTCCATTTCTTTACAAATAGGGCAATGTCATTCTTTTTGATGGAAGCATATCAATGAGAGTTCAAGCCCCACACTTACCAAAAAAAAAAAAAAGAAAGAAAAGAAAAGATCAAATCTTAGATTTAGCATTAATAACAAGAGAATTATTTAAGACTGAAGGATTAGAAATATCTATCTGGTCAAACTTGAGACAGGTAGATCACAAGTTCAAGACTGGCCTGAGTGACAATGTAGAGGGATTCTGTGTCACAAGCAAAACAAAAGAAAAAGTAGAAATACTGATATCTAATATCTAGTATGTTTTTGTTCATGTAAATATCAGCCATTGTCTGCATTAGAAGGTTATTTATGTGTGTGTGTGCTTTTTTTAAGGTCAGCTTATTTCGGATCAAGTGGCAGAAATTGTATCTAAATATGACCCAAATGTTTACAGCATCAAGTATAATAACCAATTAGCAACTCGGACTGCACAAGCAATTTTTGATGACAGTTATTTGGGTAAGTGGAACCAAAATAGAGACTCATTTATTAGAACTGTGTATTTTTCCTGTAATTTGCATATAGTACTTTAGTATAAAAAGTTATATAATATATTATAATATAACATAGTATATGTAATATTATATTTAGTAGAAAAAGGTTAAAAAGCTGAAAAAGGCTAATATCTAGATCTCAGTTCAAAGCCAGCCTGAAAAAGTTTGTGAGACTTATATTAACCAGCTGGTAGTAGAGGTGTGGCTCAATTGGTAGAGTAAAAAAGCCAAGCAAGAGCACAAGGCCCTGAGTTCAGGCCCCAGTTTTGGCGCGAACACGCACACACACACACACACACACACACACACACACACACACACACACACACACACACACACACACACACACACAAATATGTTCATATATGTGTGTTTATAGCAATAGTAATAGCTAGTCTTTAAGATGAGCATATTATGTTTTGGGTACTTTTCTAAGTATTTTGTTTGCTCATTAATCCTGAAAACAAGGTTATGAGAAGGGCACTATGATTATTCCTATCTTCTGGGCAGTAACACAGAAACACAGAGAGGCAGTCTTATCCCATGCCTGAAGTCACCTTGCCCAGCCAGTCTGATTCCAGAACTATCTGAGTCTGCTAAATTATAGTTTTGGATTTGAGGATTTATTAAAGTTCTCATTCTTTAATTTTATTTGTAATCTGTGGAACCAAATCACACCATAGAAGTACTAATTTGCTGCTTGAGAGAATCTATTATTTGTTAGTACTTTTGGATAAATTGCAAATATACTCTGTTTTACAGACTTCCTTGTAGAGTGAATTAAAACCATTTTATTCCTATTAGAAACACCCTATTTGAGTATTTAACTGACTTTGATTTTAAAATTTGTTTATGGTAAATATCTACCATTCTCAGAGGACAAAGGGTTACCCAATTAAAGAAGTTACTTGAAAAGTTTGCAGGAAAGAAAACTACTCTACCTCATGTTCTCTCCCTTTGTTTCTTGCTCAGGTTACTCAGTGGCTGTTGGAGACTTCAATGGTGATGGCATAGATGGTAAGAAGAACCTGTGATATGCTTAAGTATTTGAAACATGTTGACATTGAACTTTTTCAGCAACTTAAAGCACTGCTCCAGAATATTCACAGAAAGGAAGAACAGAGGAGAGTCCAAGCTGGGTCTCTGGCGTCTCCTCCACTGGGAAGGGGCTGAGAACTCACAGAGCTGCTGTGGGCCTTGGTCTTTTTCCCTTCCCAGCCCCCAGCACTGTGAGTTCTCAGCCCCTTTTGCCCGTCATTCTTCACCTTTCCTGCAACCTGCTTGGTTCTTTTATCTAGGTTTGATTTGTAACTGATGCTGTAAGTTTTAGATTTGTTTGTTCTAACCCGTTAGTGAATTAAAAGGCAGGAAACTGTTTAAAGTAGACAGGACAATTTTATTTGAAATTGAAAGGAAAGCTGTGGAAAGTGGGAGACTATGAAGAGAGAGTCCTCTTTGAAGGCAGTTGTTATAGGATGGGTTCCTCCTGTATCTTCTCCCCTTGTCATTGTGCTGATTGTGTGATGGCTTGTGCATGTACCACCCTGGCTAGACAGATACCCAGAGCATTGTGTGAGTAAGAAGTATTTAAGCAGACACCCAGGGCATTCTGGAAAGAAGCATTTGAGCAGGAACTTGAGTCACAATGGGAATAAATGTCATGATGGATGGACCCCATGTTATCTTCCATGTGTTACGTCTGCCGTTTTTTATCCCTCTCTACCTAACAGTTACCTTTCTTTCTCTTATAGCTTCAGAGAACCATCTGTGATATGGCTTTTCATTTTTTGGTTTGTCATCTTTCTCGGCAAGCTTAGATTTTACCTTACCTGGCTCATTTTTCTGTGTCACAGTTACCACCAGCTACCCCATTTCTATTTACTTTGTTTTTTTTTTTTTTTAACTATAAATATAGCATTTCTTAGTTCTTAGGTAACTTTTTCTTATCTCTTCTTCTTTTTTGGGGGGGGAGGGGTGTCCGGTCGTGGGCCTGAACTCGGCCTGGGTGCTGTCCCTCAGCTCTTCAGCTCAAGACTAGCGCTCTATCACTTGAGCCACAGTGCCACTTCTGGCTTTTTTCCCCCCTGCTTATGTGGTGCTGAGGAATCAAACCCAGGGCCTCATGCATGCAAGGCAAGCGCTCTACCACTGAGCCACCTTCCCAGCCCCCTTATCTCTTCTTATTTAACAAGATTGCATTCATTGAGTCCCTAGGATTTCTTTTCATTGAGTCCCTAGGACTGTGTCATTTTATAAATTTTGATTTTATAGTTAAAAATGCTAGATTTAGTCGGGCACCAGTGGCTTAAACTTGTTATCCTAAGCTACTTAGGACTCGGAGATCTGAAGATCAAGGCTCAAAGCCAGCTTGAGCAGGAAAGTTTGTAAGGTTTGTACCTCTAATTAAGCAACAAAAAAATCCCTAAGTGGAGTTGTAGCTCAAGTGGTAGAGGCATGTGTGCACATGTGTGAGCAAACACACATACAGGATGCTAGATTTATTATGGAGTTCCAATTTAAAAAAATCTCTTGTTCATTTTTTACTGAACAAGCATAGCAAATCTTAAAGCTCTCTGGTTGAGCCACCTTCTGCCATTTCCAATGTTGGTCTTTAAGAATGAGTAATTAAGTTTTTGTTTTTACATTTCAGACTTTGTTTCAGGAGTTCCAAGGGCAGCAAGGACTTTGGGAATGGTAGGAAAGCGCAAAGATTTTTAAAAAGAATCCATATTATCGTGTGTTTTACTATTTTTCATTTACTTTTGTTTTTCCTACATAGGTTTATATTTATGATGGGAAGAATATGTCCTCCTTACACAATTTTACTGGTGAGCAGGTATGCTTTTAAATGTTACTCCTCCCCTTCATCATAAAAGCTGGTTATTACATAGGAGAAAGTGTTTAAAATAGAGAAAAGTGTGAAAGACATCTCTAATCCAGTTAAACAGATAATCCACAAAACTACCTGTTATAGTATATATACCAAAAAATGCTATATATATATTACTTTTATGAGTGTGAGCATCTGTATATAAATAACATTAGCTCAATATATTTTACATTCTATGTTATGTTTTTTTCCAGTCAGTTGGAGGCATAAGATCTGTTACTTGTTACAATTAACATTCAACACATTTGTGTGTGTGTGTGTGTGTGTGTGTGTGTGTGTGTGTGTGTGTGTGTGTGTTCAGGGACAAGATTTTGCTATATTAGTCAGCATTTTCTCATCAGCATTTTCTAATATATTAAAACTTTTTTGGCAGTTATTACAATGGTTTTATGATTCCATAAGACTCAGTGTAGTAGATACAAGATAGGCTTTAGGTATTTTGCCTTTGTTTTCGCCAGAGTGATTTTTTTAACTCAAACCTTGTGTTACTGCATAATAGGGCTAGTAGAGTTTGGTTTGTTTCATTTTAAGAAGTGAAAATCAAATTGCACACAAATAAAACCACAAAAGCTTGATTTTTCTTTGCTATTATCACTAAATTCTCCTTAAGGAATGATTTTTATTAGATGCAAAAAAAAGCACAGCACAGAGATGTGTGTTATAGATGAGACGAGCAAAGTTAATTTTTACTACATGAAATAAAGTAGTTCTTTCCAGTGCTAGACATTTTCTGTGAGAATTTTACGATATCTGGATTTATGTCCCTTTCATAATTATTTCCAGCAAGGCTGCTCTGAGTGTGATGGTGATAGTCATAATAGCCCATAATAAACTCAGACTCACTTCTGCTATGTCAGCGTCAAAAGCAGAACCATCTAGAGTCATTGATTGAAATGTGAGAAAAAAATGAGCTCCATTCCGTATCTTTCTAAACAGTTATTTCCTCTCAGTCTTACTAGTTACACATAGAGACAATTATTATTAATTACTATTAGTTAATAATTGTCATCATCCCAACTGCATCGGTATCCATGTATAAAATCTTGGATTCAGTTAAAATGCCTGTTGGTGACTATGTGTCTTTCTGTGAGGGTGTCTAACATTTTGAGGGGTAGAGAGGAAATGAGATGATAGCTTAGGCCTTGGAAGGAGAAATAACTAGGATTTGAATGAAGAAGACATTAGAGTGATGTACCTAGAATACATTTGACCCATAAATCTAGGAAGATAAACAGGTCTTATCGCTTGATTGTATTGGTAGACTAAATGAAAAGACAAAGCATTCAGATTGAAATGCTATATTCTGAGAAAAGTAATCCTTTCTGTGAGATACATGTACTACAAATGTGAATTGTCTGATCTACTTGGTCCAGATATAAACATCTTTTTTTGCATCTTCTTATTCAGATGGCTGCATATTTTGGATTCTCTGTAGCTGCTACTGACATTAATGGGGATGAGTAAGTTTAAAAAATGTTTCCAGAAACTGTTTCTTGTGCTTGTAAATATACTCTCCTAAAACTAAACATTTTTCCTTCACTTTCCTTGTCTCTTGCCTGCTAAAACCTTTCTTTTTAGGGCAACAATTGGAAGCAATGTTAATAATGAATATTAGTAAACAATTGTGTTGGTTATAATTTTTTCAATAGCTTTTATAACTATAAAATATTTTTGCTGTACTGGTAATTTCTTGAAAGAGTTGAAGGAAGATTTGGCTTTTGAGGCTGTGATTCCTATGTTTTGGTGTGATAGTAAGAGTTTCTACACCTGTCTCTAGTATTGAGTCTGGGTTCCTGTAGTGATAGTGGATGAACCATTCATGATCCATGTATCTGCATCACCTATAGCTGGTCAATCATTGCTATGACTGGTTTTGGTATCAATGTAACCATAAGATGTCCAAAGGGGCAGGTATCCTCAGGGCTTGAACTTAGGACCCTGGTACATTTGTTCAGGTTTTGTGCTCACAGTTGGTGCTCTACCATTTGAGCCACACATCTACTCAGGATTTTTGCTGATTATTCAGAGAAAATAGTCTTAGATTTGTCTGCCTGCACTAGTTCCAAGTGATTCTCAGTTCTCAGCCTTCCGAGTAGCTATGGGTAAGTGCTGAGCCACACCATTGCCTGGCTGGAAACATAGTTTTAATAAGAAGGAAAAGAGATTGCTTTGATTTTGTTCAGTGAGAAAACTATTGTTTCAGTTATGCAGATGTGTTCATTGGAGCACCCCTCTTCATGGATCGAGGATCTGATGGCAAACTCCAAGAGGTGGGACAGGTCTCGGTGTCTCTGCAAAGACCTTCAGGAGACTTCCAGACTACAAAGCTCAATGGATTTGAGGTCTTTGCAAGGTTTGGCAGTGCCATTGCTCCCTTGGGAGACTTGGACCAAGATGGCTTCAATGGTAAGGTCAAAGTGTAGTAGTTGGGGTACTGATTTTGTCTCCACCTGAAAAATGCCCTAAAATCCTATCAGTAGGAGCTCACTTGAATAAACATCCTTTGTGGAAAGATGGTTGCTTTTTAAATTCTTTATTAAAAATGAGAATAAAATAAAAAAATAGTAACTTGTGAGTTACTATTCAAGCAGTCTGAAGTCTGAGTGTCAAATGATTCATTTCTGAAAGGAACTTTCCTTCTCTGTAAATGGCGGTATTTCTCTCTGCATCCTGCTGAGACAGCGCCCTCTACTGTCTATTTGGATATTAATGCCAAAGGCTCCCAGGCATATAGTCAAAGCAGGTTGACTAGTGGCATGCCTACCTCCTAGGTGTGATTTTCCAGTAACGTTTTTAAACCATAAATTTCTTGTGGCTGTGTAAGAATTTGAGTATGTTCATTGGCAGATGTAAGAGGTGTAAGCTCATTTTTAAAAATAATTTTAAGGGCTGGGTTGTAGCTCAATGACAAAGCGCTTGCCTAGCAAGTGCAACGTCCTGGGTTCGATCCCCAGTACCAAAAAAGAAAAGACAAAAAAAATACAGTTAAAAAAAAAAACCAAACAAAAAAAAATTTTAATAGTTGTAGATACCTAGATATCTTTTTCCCCCCAGTCCTGGGGCTAGAACTCAGGGCCTCGGCACTGTCCCTGAGCTTCTTTTTGCGCAAGGCTAGCACTCTACCACTTGAGACACAGTGCCAATTCTGGTGTTTTCTATTTATGTGGTACTGAGAAATTGAATGGGCTTCTATAGATTATAAACTAGATACATGAAATGTAGATCACAAGATGTGCTGGTAACAAAAGCTACATTTACACCTGATGACATTCAGTGGCATTGGTTCTGTATTCTGACTCCTTCCTTTCCAACTACCCCCACCAGAAAAACCTTAGACATCATAATCATAAAGAGGATTATCAAAATAATCACTATCTATTCTATGAACCAGGTGTCTGGCTCAGGCCTGTAATCCTAGCTACTCAGGAATCTGCGATCTGAGGATTGCAGTTCAAAGCCAAGCCAAGGCAATGAAAGTCCATCTCCAATTAAGCACCATCTCCCCCACCCCCACAAAAGTCAGAAGTGAAGCTATAGCTCAAGTGATAGAGCACTAGTCTACCCATAAAAACACAAACCAGAAAAGAAGAACTAAAATGATCAGAAGAGGGAAGAAGTTGACTGCTTGAAAATATAGCCCTTTTAAGATATAATAGCCAAGGATGAAAATAAAAAGAAAACATGTATAAAAATACTTAAGAGAGCTGGGAAGGTGGCTCAGTGGTAGAGCGCTTGCCTTGCAAGCATGAGGCCCTGGGTTCGATTCCTCAGCACCACATAAGCAAAAAGAAAAAAGCCGGAAGTGGCGCTGTGGCTCAAGTGGTAGAGCGCTAGCCTTGAGCTGAAGAGCTGAGGGACGCGCCCAGGCCCAGAGCTCAGGCCCTACGACCGGACCCAAAAAAAAAAAATACTTAAGGGTTTAAGGCTGGGCACCAGTGGCTCACGCCTGTAATCCTAGCTACTAAGGAGGCTGAGATCTGAGGATCATGATTCAAAGCCAGTCTGGTTAAGAAAGTCAGTGAGACTCATCTCCACTTAACCACCAGAAAACTGGAAGTGGTCCTGTGGCTCAAACTGGTAGAATGCTAGCTTTAAGTGCAAAAAGCTGAGGGACAGTGCTTAGGCTCTGAGTTCAATCCTCACAACCGATTAAAAAATTTAAAAAGGAAGTTTAGAAAAATTACAGTTTATATTAGCTGGACACCAGGGGCTTATGTCTATAACCTTAGCTACTCAGGAGGCTGAGATCTGAAGATCGCAGTTAAATGCCAGCTCAATCAGGAAAGTCCATGAGACTCTATCTCCGATAATCTACCACAATAGCTGGAATTGGAGCTGTGACTGAAATAGTAGAGCTTGAGCCTTCAGCAAAAGAAACTCAGGGACAGTGCCTATGCCCTGGATTCAAGCCCCAGTAGTGGTGCACTCACACACATACACAAAAAGTTTATATTAAGTCATCCCTCAATAGAGCAATATTTTGTTCAGAATTTATGTTATAGTAAATACTTTCTTAATGTATATGTCAGCTTAGAAATTATGCTTACTTTTTATAATTTAACAAAGGAAAAAAGACTATGTAATTTAAATACTTATTTTTAAAGGATAACACATTTTTAGTTGATGCTTGTACAGACCAAACACTCTTTTGTGGGATGAAAATGAGAGTAAGGCTGAGCCCCCAGGTCACAGAAGAACTAGCATTTCAGAAGGGGCAATGTATATGTGAAACAATTGACACTAGCCTGTGATCACCAATGTGTTTGAGATACTTAACACAAAGGAGGAGAGATCAAAGTGTCTTTGATGTCTCAAGGGGTATCATTGAGGAGTCATAAAAATCAAGTAGGTACAATAAAGAAACTGGAGCAATTTGGTATGGCTAGTACAGAAGAGCCATTATAGACGAGAGAAACATGTCCTTGATATAAAGTTTATGGGTTTTTTGGTGTTTTTTTTGTTTGTTTGTATTTTACTTTTTATTTTTGTGCTGGTCCTGGAGCTTGAACTCAGGGCCTACGTGCTACCCTTGAGCTTCTTTTGCTCAAGGCTAGCACTCTTATCACTGGAGCCAGAGCTCAGCTTTTTGGTACTTAATTGGAGATAAGAGTCAGGAACGTATCAGCTGAGGCTGTCTGCCAACCTCAGGCCTCGGAACTCAGTCTCCCGAGTAGCTAGGATGTTTATAGGTGTGAGCCACTGGTGCCTAGACACACTTGCCAGTTTTGAAGAGAATGGGCGGTGAGATCAGGACTAGAAGTGGGAGCCACTTACTTAAGAGGCTGGTGTGGGGTTCAGGAAAAGCATAGCAATGGCATGGCTGAGGCAGGAACATTAGAGACAGAGAGATGCAGATAGATAGATAGAGTTAGGGAAGATCATAGTGACCAGGTAGTGTTTGGGATACTGTGTGTGTGTGTGTGTGTGTGTGTGTGTGTGTGTGTGTGTGTGTGTGTGTGTGTGTGTGTGTGTGTGTGTGTGTGTGTGTGTGTGTGTGTGTGTGTGTGTGTGTGTGTGTGTGTGTGTACACACTGGCCCTGGGGCCTGAACTCAGGGCCTGGACCCTATCCCTAAGCCTCTTTTTCCCAAGGCTAGTTCTTTACCACTTGAGCCACAGTGTCACTTCCGGCTTTTGCTTGTTTAAAATTTTATTGTAAAGATGCTGTGCAGAGGGGATACAGTTATATGAGTAAGTTAATGAGTACATTTCCTGTCAAGAATTGTTACTCCCTCCTTTGTTGTTCTCCCACTATCCCTTCCCTCCCCCCTCCCTCACTCCTCTCAATACCCCCTCCCTCCACCTCAAAGTTATAAAGTTCATTTCCAGTATACTGTCTTGTGGGGATCATTGTTGCAAGGACTATATATAATGAAGCATAGCAACACTAACTCCAGCTTTTGGAAAAAAGAGGCTCTCATTAGACCCTCTATACGGTTCGTTCTTTTTCTCTATTGTTTTTCCCCCTATGGTTTCCTTATTTGCAATAATTAGTATATATCTAGGATAATTTCGTCAGATGAGCAGAAAAGCCCAAACTTCCAGCTTTTTCTGAGTCTCATGAACGTTCCTGCCTGGGCTGGCTTCAGACAAGGATCCACAGATCTTAACCTCCTGAATAGCCAGGATTACAGGCATGAGCCACCAGTGCCTGGCTGAGATTATTGTTTTTTTAAAGCATTGAAAATGTTACATGTTTATGTATTTTTATGAAGTCATAACTTTCAAATATATTTTTGAACCAGATTGACTTCTATTGAGAAAAAAATGAAAACTATGTGTAAATAAATTATGATGGGGGGGGTAGGATTTTAAGTTATAGAATGAACTTTAGATGAGTTTTTGACCTGTGCCCTTGCCACCTTCTACGCCCAGATTTTAAAGATAAAGCATTTGAAGTCTGAATGGTTTGTCCAAGATCAAACCCAGAATATCTCAATCCAAACTAATGTAATTTGTAAAATGGCATAAATTTACAATTTTTGCTTGAGGTTTCTTAAATTAGATGAGTACTTTTAAATGGAATATTCCATTGAACTTTGAATCATTACTTAACATGGTAAATGGGTTCTAGAAATACTGAAGTCTTTTCATTTCACTTTCCCATCTCTTGCCCTATTCTCCTCTCCTTTCCTCCCACAGATATTGCAATCGCAGCTCCATATGGTGGTGAAGATAAAAAAGGAATTGTTTATATTTTCAATGGAAGATCAACAGGCTTGAATACAGTACCATCTCAAATCCTTGAGGGACAGTGGCCTGGTCAGAGCATGCCACCGAGCTTCGGCTATTCGATGAAGGGAGCTACAGACATAGACAAAAATGGATATCCAGGTACTTTCTCACCAATTCATGTGGCTCTTAGATGCCTCCATTCTGTAGTTAGCAGTTTTAGTTACTCTTTTCTTGATTTAGATTATGAATCTTTTTAACTTAAATTTTATGGTTAAGGTAGAGTTACAGTTACACAAGTCAAGTAATGATATAAATCTTTTAAAGTTAATATTTCAAGTGTCGATCAGGCACCTGCTGTATTCAAAACATGGTTCTCACTGAAAGGGATAAGAACAGAGTATAAAACAAATATGCTGAATTTATTGTATTACCTTTAAGTCTATTAGAATATCAGAAAAAATCTAATCTTGTAGATGCTATAAATAAAAGCCAAATACTCGGTCCAAGTTGTTGTTGATGTTGTTTTTAATAGCCATTTTGAGTTCTTTTTTCTTTTTGTATGTGTGTGGTACTGGGCTTTGAACTCATAGCCTCAAGTTGTCACTTGGCTTTCTTGCTCATAGCTGATGCTCTACCACTTGTTCCCTTCTAACAAATCTTATTTTACCTTACTTTTCATTTCCATGCATTTATCTCTGCACAGTTCTATATTGTATACCTCAGGTTAAAAATCCTAAAATTGTGGTGGCAAATTTATGTTGTTTTAAGGTTGTTAATACATATTGGCTCCATTTGTTAGGAAATGGAAAGACTTGGAAAAAATTGTATTAAGTGAAGTAAGCCAGACCCAAAGAACCATAGGTCCCATGGTTTCCCTTATTTGCAATATCTAATACATGTGTAGGACAAGCAGAAAAGGCCAAAAGCTATGTACATATGACCATATAAGATGATGTTAAGCGAAATGAACCCAAGATAGGGACACAAACATCTTTTTTTCTTTCTTGCTATTGTTTCTAACCTATTTATAAGGTACTATGTGATTTTTTTTTTGTTGCTTTGTAAGTTCCTCCCCCATGGTATAACCCCTGCTTTCACTGTATTTGATGTCGGTGCCCTGCATCTTGTATGTACACTTCTCTAATTCGGGAAGGGGAAGGGAAAGGGTAAAAACAAAATGCTTAAATAAAGATACAGGTTGACCCATTGTAACAGTGAGATGTACAAGACACTCTGTTGAAATCAACTTACAACTTCGGCCAGAGGTGTAGAAGGGGGTGGCAGTGGTGGGAAACAGGGATGCTAGGGGAAAAACAAAGGAGAAGGCAAATGCTCAATAGGAAACGTACTCATTACCTTGCTCATGTAACTGCAACCCTTCTGTACAGTATTTTTACAATAAAAAAGTACAAAAAAAAAACTAAGAGATAAAAAACTTTGTATTAAAAATTACCTAACAAAAAAATTAACGAACTTTTTTTTCCTCCCCAAAAAACAAATTTACCAAATGGTTTTTTTTAGTCAGCTTTTTAAAACAATAAACAATTGATTGTTTTCCCATAATCATTCCTCTTTTCAAATAATTTGGCTATATAATAAATGGATAATATTACTTTGTCTCAGTTAACAGTTTCAGATTACTAGTGAGCATTTTTAATATATCTTTTTGCAGTTTGGGGGCTTTCTAAAATGTATTTTTGTCTCTTTTTCGATTGAGATGTGTTTGTTTTTTTTTGTTTTTTTTTTTTTTTTTAATAAACCTTGCTTAGTACCTTAAATACTAGAGGTGTTGGCTTCTGAATTTTTCAGCGTTTCCCAGTTTGTCACATTTGCATCTTATCTATGGAGAAGTTTTAAATTTTTCATGTGATTCAATTCACCTGTCCTTCTGATTTCTCATATACTTTTTTTACTTAGAAAGGGCTTCCTCACATTCAGCTTGTATCTGTATGACGGAGCTCTGATTTCATTTTGTTTTCAAATCACGAGTTGTATCAGTTACATGTAAAAATGGATGCATTTTATTCTTGCTGATTTGAATGCTCTCTGCTATCAGATTTAGCATGTCTGTGTATGTGTGTGCATGTATATGTGTATGCACATGCGTGTGTGCTTTTTTGGAGTTTATCTTTATTTTTGAAACAAAGCAAGAGGAAAAAAAGAAATTTAATAATAACTGTACAATCTGCACAGGCATCCACAAAACTAAACTTTGGCGTATTCATGTATAGGAAATGGGCCCTTCCCTGTTGTTGCAATTCCTACTAAATATTCATTGAAAGAATTCTTGTTCACTTTAAAGATCTAAGTGATCTTGTAATGAGTGTTTGTACTGCTGAGCTTTTTTAAAAAACAGTTTTTAGATATTATAGCTTTATACGTGTTTTCTTTCAACTTTTACCTTGGGAATATGTTTAATTCTTTTTAATTACATTAAGTATTTTATAAAGTGACATAAAATTAATAAAGCATTATTGCTAATAACATTTTTTTAACTTTCTCTCAAGATTTAATTGTTGGAGCTTTTGGTGTTGACCGAGCAGTCTTGTACAGGTAGGTTCCATATTCTGTAGTATAAAAATATTCAACATGAGGGCTGGGAAGGTGGCTCAGTGGTAGAGTGCTTGCCTTGCATGGATAAGGCCCTGGGTTCAATTCCTCAGTACCACATAAACAGAAAAAGCTGGAAATGGCTCTGTGGCTCAAGTGGTAGAGTGCTAACCTTGAGCAAGAGCAGCTCAGGGATAGTGAGTGCCAGGCCCTGAGTTCAAGCCCCGGGACTGTCAAAAAAAAGAAAAAGAAATATTCAACATGAAAATATTCGAAAGCTTAAGGGTCAGTGTTTAAATTTGTTTCAGTTCTTGAAGCAATGATACAGTGTGCTTGTTCTTTCTATGAAATACTTGCTGCAGGGAAAGAATACGTATATAAGGAGGTATTAAATAGAAAGCTGTACTTCATTTTCTTTCTTTCTTTTTTTCTTTTTTCTTTTTTTTGCCAGTCCTGGGGCTTAAACTCAGGGCTCTGTCCCTGAGCTTCTTTTGCTCAAGGATAGCACTCTACCACTTGAGCCACAGTGCCACTTCCAGCTCTTTCTGTTTATGTGGTACTGAGGAATCCAACCTAGGCCTTCGTGTAGAACACTTGCTTACTATGCACAAGGCCCTAGCCTTAACACTTACTTACTATGCACAAGGCCCTAGCCTTGACCTCTAGCCCTTCAAAAATAAAATCTAAAGTGTACAAATTGTGTGGTATATATTTTTCTGAAAGAGGGAGGCTATTTACTTGGTGTTTGTACCTTAGTACTCTGGGATCACAAGTACTCTGAGTACTAAATGAATATTTTTATTAGAGTAATATGTGTAAGTTTGCATATTTATTTCCCAGTTGTGTACATATTCCCAGTTGTTGTCTGTATTAATCAATTCTTCATGCCTTATGATAGCAGCTGGTATCTCGAGAATATTAAGATGCTTATACTGTGGGCTGAGTTTATCCATGTTAGGAATACCAACATTGGTGCAGTGTATAGAAGTTTGTGAGGGCTCAATTTAATGACAGCTATAGGAGAACAATGTGTACTCATGGATTTCAAGGCTTTCTCATTTTGAGACAACTTTATTGACCGGAGCTTATTGTTTTTATGCAAGATTTGAACTTGTGCATATACATGTTAGAAAAATATATTGACAGATTGAATATCTTTTATCTGAAATGCTGATAACCAGAAGTGTTACAGCTTTTGGAGTTTTGGATTTTTGAGTATTTGCATGGATTTCACCAGTTGCTCTAAATGAAGCAATAATGCATGTATTTCCTCTTATCTGTTACTAGTATATTAGTATGTGCTATGATAAATATTCTCTGTGTGTATGTGTGTGTGTATGTGTGTGTGTGTGTGTGTGTGAGAGAGAGAGAGAGAGAGAGAGAGAGGGAAAGAAAGAGAGAGAGAGAGATCTGCAGGCATTCTTTTTTTTTTTTTTTGACCCATAGTTCCCACTTGCGGCTTTCTCTGTGTATATGGTGCTGAGGAATCAAACCCAGGGCCTCATGCATATGAGGCAAGCAATCTACCACTGAGCTACCTTTCCAACCCTATAGGTGTTCTTTCTACATTATCAAATCTTTTTCCTTTCCTGCTACAGTTGTATCGTGGCTATCTTAGAGATCAGCAAGGCAGGACTTGTAGCACTCATACCCCTTAAGGTCCTGTACTGCATTAGTTGTACATCACACAACTATTGGAAATTCTGCTTCAACGGACTGGATTCAGATAGGCTGATCTGTTGTCCCACTTTGCCTAGAACTGAATGACAGGGCATTCAGTATTAAAATTAGGACAAACTGGCCCTCTGACATTAGATTGTTTCTGTTTGTTTTGCCACTAGACACAAAGTGAATGCTTAGATTGATTTAATATTTTAAATAATGTTTTTCTTTCTCATCTTTTTTTTCCTTTTTTTAATACAGGGCCAGACCAGTTATCACTGTAAATGCTGGTCTTGATGTGTACCCTAGCATTTTAAATCAAGACAATAAAACTTGCTCACTACCTGGGACGGCTCTTAAGGTTTCCTGGTAAGATTATTTTTTGTATAATAATAGTTATGATCATTGTGAATGATTTAGTCATTATAAGTATAATTAAAAATTAAGGTGGCAAGCAGTTTCTAGGTATGTGTTCTATTTTCACACTGTAGATTGGTAAATGGAAATCGTGCTCTAAAGAAGATGACATAGAAAGCATTATTTATAAAAGTAGCTTTTAATGAACTATGTTTGGTCATGGTCCTTATGTTTGGTCATTAAAAAGAAGAAAAACTAACAAATCTTATAACTCAAGGCCCTAAACAAGCTCTTGAAACTACGATTTTGTGTGTGTGTGTGTGCGCACACGTGTGCGCCCGTGTGCGCACTGGTTCTGAGGCTTGAACTTAAGGCCTTTAACTCTTACTTGGTATTTTTGCTCAAGACTGTGCTCTACCACTTGAGCCATACCTCCACTTGTGGCTTTTTGCTGGCTAATTGTAGGGATAAGAATCTCATGTATTTTCTGCCCAAGCATGCTTCAAAATATGTTCCTCAGCATGAGCTTCAGCTTCAAACCATGTTTTTCAGACTCCTAAGTAGTTAGGAATACAGGCATAAGCAACCAGTGCCTGGTAAAACTATAAAGTTTTTCAAAGTATATTTTTTTCAGACTTTATATCTGAGAATACCCAAAGTGCAGTATCCATGACCTGTTACAAAATTGTTTACCTCCGGATACCGGTGGCTCACACCTATAATCCTAGCTACTCAGGAGGCTGAAATCTGAAGATCCCGGATTAAAGCTAGCCCAGGCAGAAAAGTCCACGAGACTCTTTATCTCCAGTTAACCATCAGAAAACTGGAAGTGGCACTGTGGCTCAAGTAGTAGAGAACTCACATTGAGCTAAAGAGCTCAAGGACAGCACCCAGGCCCAGAGTTAAAACTCCTTGACCAACCGAAAAAAAGAAAAGAAAAGAAATAGTTTACCCAGTATGATGATGCGTATCTATAATCATAGTGACCAAGGAGGCCCAGATCTAACAAGACCCTTAACAAGACCCTACCCACAAACCAAAAGACAAAAGAGCAAAAAGGCTGGAGACATGGCTGAAGTGGTAGCATGCAAAAACCTTGGAATAAACAAATGTTTAGCTTAGTACTGAAAAAACAAAAATGTGGGAAGCAGTTTTATAAAATGAGACATTATTTTGAATCTCAACTGCCATTTCTCTCATTTAGATTTATCCATTGGTCTATAAACTTGAGAGGAAGTTGTCTTTTTTTTCAGTAAGGCACCATGAGATCAAATATGCCAAACTTATTAAAGAATGGGATGTACTAGTTTGTATAGCTTCATATTTTAGGGATAATATTAAGACATGACACGGACGAATGCTGTCCTGATATAAACTATGCACCATTAGCCTTCTACATTGCATTAGTAGGTTCTGTATTGCAAATTTAGGCAAGGGTGAATTGAATATGCAGAGACAGTTTTCATTATTGCCTAAACAATGTGGTAGAACAACTGCTTGCATAGCATTTACATTGCATGAGGTTTTATAACTTGTGTAAATGCAACATGATGTGATATGTTTTATAAGGGTCAGGAACATGCACTGGCTTCGGTGGAAATGTAGGGAAACTTCCTATAACCAATACCTCCCCCCCTAGATACACAGGACAACTGTATTAGAATTATGGCACTTGGGTACAATTCAAAACTATATCTAGATTATAAGATTGATTTACATCCTTTTTTTTCCCTGCAGTTTTAATGTCAGGTTCTGTTTAAAGGCAGATGGCAAAGGATCACTTCCCAGAAGACTTAGTAAGTGTCTTATGAAAAACCATGATATTTGAATGACATTGTTTGTACAACACTGCATAGTTATTCAAATTGTTATCATTGTTCTTTTGTAATTTGAATATGTTTAAAGGTATTTAAGATGGTAGTATAATTACTTGACTTTGCTTGGCAACTCTACAGCTGACTCAGATATAGTACATTTATTACTGGACATTGAGAGCAAAGTAGCAAGTGGAATGGTGAGTGTGCTGTCTTCAGCAGTTATGTACAGTAATGAACGCTGGGAGAAGTGAACATCTTGGTTCACACGTGGATGATCTGCTGAGATGAAATCCCTAGAGTCTTAGGAACGAAGGTGTTCTAGAAAAGATGAGAAGAAGAGAGGTCTGGTCCCTAAGCTTAGAGTACCCAGCAAATTCTACTCCTCTCCTGAAATGTTGTCCCACTTTGGTCAGTATGCTAGATATGACAGGTGCCAGTGAGCCATGACAAAGCAGAGAAGAAGACTGCACTGATGGAGGTGGGAGTGGTGTGAATGTCCATATAAAATAGCAAGAACATTTTCTGTAGGAACCTGAGAAATGAGGGAGCCATGGGACACAGGGAGGGAGGAGCAGTCCACACAGGAGTGGCAGTTTCAGAAAGCTTGTATCTGGAGTATGCTCACTGTGTTTGAGAAAACACATGGAGGGCAGTGTAGCTGAGAAGAACAGAACGTGAGACAAACTATCACCTAACTTTAAAATAAAGGTGGGGGGGGGACGGGCAGGGGGGAGGATGGGAAGGGATGGGAAGGGGAAACAAAGGAGGAGGCTACAATGCTTGATAAGAAATGTACTCATTATCTTGCCCATGTAATTGTAACCCCTCTGTACAGTATTTTCACAATAAAAATAAAAAAATAAATAAAAATAACATAAAAATAAAATAAAGGTCAGATTTAGAAGAAATTTGCAAAGGGACTCGTGGTTTTCGAGTTTTGCATTCTAAGGAACTTCTTAACGAATTGAATCCTAGCAACTGTGTTTTCCATCACTTGACTGCTCATTTATTTTTAGGGGATTTTTGACACATTAAGCTCTAGTTGGTCACTTGCCGTGGAGGGACATATGTATCTGGCAATTTGATATGGTAGCTTCCTTGAAGCAGAACATTAAAATGCTACCAATTGTTCACTTATCTTAGTGTTTAATACAATTATATGGGTTTATGCTAATGAATGCTTCTTAATAAAAACTGCTTGAGTCTTGCTACGTGGATTAATGGTAGAAGTCTGTGCTTGTTATTTTATTGGTGCAGGCTGTAGAACCCCCTCATGCATGCTAAGCAGATGCTCTCCTACTGAGAGACATCTAGTGGTGAAAATCTTAATTCTGCTATATTTCATTCCCTGGACTACTTGCAATATAAATTAAGTGAGAATTTTCATCTGGTACTTGCTTTCACCACTATCATTGTTTGGGATTATGTATGACCTTACTTTGGAGATAAATGGATAAATTATTGTGACGTATTTTTGGAAGCAATACATTATGGTGTCACAGCAATGTACTGTCACCTCTGTTTACAAAAACAGTGATATTTACATTTCTATGAAAGTTCTATCTAGGCAGATAGCATCCATAAAGAATATGTTGGTTATAAGTCATTTGATTTGTATAGACTTCCAGGTGGAGCTTCTTTTGGATAAACTGAAGCAAAAGGGAGCAATTCGACGAGCACTGTTTCTCCATAACAGGTCCCCGAGTCACTCCAAGAACATGACTATCCCGCGGGGGGGCCTTGCACAGTGTGAGGAGCTCGTAGCATATCTACGGGTAAGGGCGCTTTCGGTGCCATATCTTTTCTATTGTTCACTTACCACTTCCATCTAAATGGGTTTTCACTTTCTATGAATTGGCATCCAACTGTAATGAAACACATAGAAAATTAGACTTGGGCTAGGTAGTGTGTGGTTTTGATTGTCACATTTGGCAGTGGAAGTACTAGCTAGGCTCAACTCCTGGGCAGCCTGGATGTTTTGAATGGCATTTTCACTGAATTCTGGAATAATTCTGAATAACCAGTAATATTACTGAAGGGATTGTGATACACGTATTTGTTAACTATTTCTGACCTCTGATGATACTGAAAAAAATCTCCAGGATTCAAAAATTAAGCAATTGACAAAACAAAACACCCAAAAACCCAACCCTAGTGGCAAAGGTTGAATAGTGAGCCTAGCTTGCTGGAAGGGGGTAGAACCTGGGGTGACCGGGAATGATAATTGCAGAAACCAGCACAGCAATCAGACTCATCTGAGCCTGTGACCTTGTGACCTCTGTGACTCTCCTTGAGACTCCTGCATGAAGCCTAGAACTTTGAATGATGCTAGAATATTCTTAAGACAGAGTTACACCTTGACTCCAGCAAGATCAAATGCCTAGCATCCTGGAGAGCATTCCAGGTTGGGCTTCTTGATCCCTGTGTGCTGAGATTAAGCAACATGAATTCATTAAAAGAGTAAAAAAAAAGTGTCAAACCAGGATAGCCACTAGAAGAAACGAAATTTTAGTCTAGAAGGATGTAAAATATTGGACTTAGTGTTTGTAGAATAGAAACTTACATAAAATGTTCAAAAAAAGGCTGAAAATTATTTTTAAAAAAAGAAGAAAAAAGCATGAGTAAAGATTCAAAGACACAACATAATTGAGCAGCTTGATTTAACAGACCTCTATAGAGCTCAGCACTAAACAATTAGAGAATAGAAAAATTGACCATGCATAGACCACAAAGAAAGCTTAAGGTATTTCAGAAAGGGATCTCATAGAAAGCATGTTACCTGGCCAGGAGTGTGGTGCACTCACTCCTAAAATCCCATTATTCTTGTGATAGAGGCAGGAAGATTGCAAGCTCTGGGTCAGCTTAGGTTAAGTTAGGAAAAACACCAAATGAGCCAGTCGCCGGTGTCTCACACCTGTAATCCTAGCTATTCAGGAGGCTGAGATTTGAGGATCGCAGTTCAAAGCCAGCCGGGGCAGGAAAGTCCATGAGACTCTTATCTCCAACTAACTACCAGAAAATTGGAAGTAGTGCTGTGGCTCAAGTGGTAGAGCGCTAGCCTTGAGCTGAAGAACTCAAGAACAGCACCCAGGCACAGAATTCAAGCCGCAGGACCGACAAAAAAAGAAAGAAAGAAAAAAAAAGAAATGCAAAAATGAATGCAAATGAAAAGAAAAAAAGAGGGACTGAGAGAGGTAGAGTAGAATATAATCATGGAGTAATTGTTTCCCATCACTGTAACAAATGACACAGATAATCAACATACAAAGAGAAAAATTTATCATAGCTTTGGAAGTTTTCATACATGATTGGTTGTCCCTGTTCCTTTTGGGCCTGCAATAAGGTATAGAGACACAGATACCAGGAAAGCAACGAAAGAGGAAAGGGCCAGGCTTCCACAATTGCATGTCCCAAATGATAAAACCTTCTACTAGTTCCCACAATGGGGACCAAGCCTTTCCCACAATGGGGACCAAGCCTTTATTGCTTGGTTGATACTAAATAGCCAAACTTTTGTTTTTCAGAAATTAGAAACAAAAAGATAGGCTGGGAATTTTTTTTTTTGCTAGGAAATCATAGGAATAGGATTTTTAAATGACCTTCTTGTCAAAAAGAGGTAGAGGCTGGGCACCAGTGGCTCACGCCTGTAATCCTAGCTACTCAGGAAGCTGAGATCTGAGGATTGTGTTTCAAAGCCAGCCCGGGCAGGAAAGTCCGTGAAACTCTTACCTCTAGTAAACCATTCAGAAAAACTAGAAGTGGTGCTGCAGCTCAAACGGTAGAGCGATAGTCTTGAGCTGAAGAGCTGAGGGACAGTGCCCAGGCCCAGAGTTCAAGACCCACGACTGACAAAAAAAAAAGGTGGAAATTTATTTAGAACTGAATTATCATGAAAATCCTACATAACACTGTGTGGCCGTTACACAAGCAGAATATAACAGTAAATGTATACCATGAATGCTATTTTTTCATTGACTGATAAAGGAAAATGAAGAAAACACAAAAACTCCCACAAAATTTAAAATTGAGAAAGGAAATAACCACAGATAAAGTAGGGAGTAAAATAATAAGATGCTAAGAATAACCATGTACCAGTAGTCAGGAAAGCTTGGATAACAAGAATATTCCCAGACAGACATAGTACAACTGCCATAAAAGTGGAAAACTGGCACAATTCTATAACCATTTCATTAAGATTCAGTTAAAAATCTTTATTCAAATGTAGTTTGCAGTGGGTCAGACCTTAATTCCAGCTACTCAGGTGAAGCCAGCCAGGACTAAACGTGACCAGGATCCTATTTCAACAGATAAATCAGACTTGATGGCATATGTCTATTATCCAAACTATGAGGGAGGCAGGCACAGAAAGGAGGATAGAACTCTGAGGTTGGCCCTGAAAGGGAAAAAATAATTCATGAGACCCTGTCACAAAAATAATGAAAGCAAGAAATAAATAGGCTGAGGAGGTAAGTATCAAGTGGTAGAGTACTGTCTAGCAAGTGCAATGCCCTGAGTTCAAACTGCAGTAGCCCTCTGCCAAGTCTTTATTCAAAGTAAGCACAAGCTCAGATGGTTTTATTTGCAATACATTCGAGAATAAGCTGTTTCTAAGCCAGGCATGGATGTATAGGTCTGTACTCCCAGATACTTAAGAAAGTTGAGACAGAAGGCTAGCCCAGGCATAGTTAGCAAGTTAGCAACATCTCAAAACAAAACATAGCTCAAGTGGTAGAGTGCTTGTCTACTAAGCACAGAGCCCTTGGTTCAATTCCCAAAATTGTTTCCCCTTCACAAGAAAAAGGGCGCTACTTAATTCTGATAATAAACTCTTCAAGAGATTAGAAAAAAAGCTAAAATATTATCTTAATTCATTCTAGGAGTAAGTGTAATGAATACTTCACCTGGTGAAGGACAGAATAAGAAAATGGGATTTCACTCCAGTTTTACACAGAAATGTTTTTCAAGTTACTTAGCCAGTATAAAGAAACTAAAATCTAGTAATTTATAGGAAAAGATAAATAGACCAAGTTGGATTAGGGTGTGTTAAGATAAAAAATTTGGAAGTGGAACATGACTCTTTTACTTAGGTGCAGAAGAATGAGTGGGCATTTTGTAATAGGAAAGAATACCCCCAAACAAGTCTAATAACTTGTCAGGAGAAGCAACCAATTGTGTTATACAGATAGCACACATATCATTGAATAGCCAAAGTTAATCTTCTCTGTATGCAAGAGCACAGATGAGTCTTAACAAGATTTTGAACAGAAAGCAAATCTCAGATCACTCCATTGGATCCCATTTGAAATAGAGGGGAAAAGGGAGAGCAAACTAGAAGATAGTGTTGTGTCATGATATACGCAAGGTAAAAGCTAGCTGAATAGCCCTATCTACAACATGGCACCCAGCAGATGAGTAACTTTATCGTTATCGATATTTATTGGTATTGGCAAAATTCTAGTTATTATACGTGGTGTGTTTTGGGGGGCTTCTTTTATTTTACTGACACAAAATAACAAGTCCACTTTAAAGAAAGTAAGAAGGTAGTCTTCATCCGTGTGGTCTGAACCAAATATAACTAGCCATTATCTGGGATCCAGACCTCTTCCTGGCTTGAACCCCTGAAAGACATGGTCCAGCATGGAAGAGATCACCTGAGCTTCTCCAGTCACAGAACCAAAGACAGCACCTGAGTCATCAAAGAGGCAGGCTTTGAGAAAGTGGGCCATCTCTTCAATGGGATTCAGATATGGTCTTTAACATGGCTGCTGGGGTTGGAATTCAGAGCCCTCTCCTATTAGGCAAATGCTTTACCACTTGACCCATACCCCCAGTCTTTTCTTGCCATAGTTATTTTTCTGGAGAGAGTCTCATGTTTTTGTTTGGGTTCAGCCTCGTATCTCAATCCTATAGCGGGGATTACAGGAATATACCACTATGACTGGTAGGAGAAATCTTTATGATTCAGATCTTTAACGCATTTGTTGCTTTGAGTTGATGGAAGCTAGAGATCTGTCAGGTGTCGCATCCATCACAAAGGTTTTATGTAGTAGTCATGAAAATGTTGTCAGATACAGAGATCAATAGTAAATAATATTGAAAAGACTAAAGATAGTCAAAGACAACCTATATTGTGCAATATTCCATTTCCCATCTCTCTCCAGTCATGGTGATCTAGTTCAGTCAGTGCCAGATAATCTGCACACTCATCAATATTCACCTGATTCTTGAAGAGAGTGAACCTACCTTCCACTTTTGTGTGAAGCAAATATTGCATCATGAAACAAAAACTGCTTATAAGTTTCTACTGGATAACTGAGCTTTTCAGATAGACTGTTCTTACTATGAATTTGTCTGAAGGGTTTAAGTTGATGTCATTTTAAATTTGCAGTGTTTCTATTTCTAGGATGAATCTGAATTTAGAGACAAGCTCACTCCTATTACGATCTTCATGGAGTACCGGTTGGATTATAGAACAGCTGTGGATGCAACAGGCTTACAGCCCATTCTCAACCAGTTCACTCCCGCCAACGTTAGCCGACAGGTACTTGGCTTTCTGCTTATTCCAGTTTTGCTCTTCCATCTTTTCCTAAGATGATACAGCTCAGGTTTTTAAAGAGCAGAAGGATTTGCTTTTTATCACATTGATAGATGTTTAACTGAAGAAACATGAGAGAAAATACTCTTAAATTTCCAGATCAGAGATCATTAATTCAGACTAACTAGTCTTATCAAGACAAAGACAAGGTCACATTTCATATTTGGAAATTTGTAAATAACTCCAGGAGATGAATTATTTCAAAGTGCTAATTTATTTAACTTTTTAGTAAATTGCTAAACATCTTTGGGGCCTAGTAGCTTTAGGTACATCTTAATTGTTTTTTAAAAGCATATATATATATATATATATATATATATTCATGTATGTATGTAATACATTGATAATTCTTTTCATAATGCAGCATAAAATTCCATGCACATGTTTATAATTTTAGAAAATTATATGTAAAGAACCTGTATTCAAATATTTATTTATCTATTATTTATCTTAAATTTTATATTCCTTCTTTTACCTCTTACCTAAGCTCTATATCCTCCCTCTATTTGTTTGGCTTTTTTGTTTGTTAGATTTTTTTTTTTTTCTGAGACGGAGTCTCATTCCCTAGCCTGCCTGTCCTTGAGCTTACAATTTTCCTCCCTCAGCCTCCCAAATCATACAGCTTAGCTAGCAACAGACTTGAACCCTCATTTCTTGACTCTTGCTTTCTCTTGTACACCAGACCTCACTCTAAAATGTTAATAGCTAATTTATTGTAAAGCAAAATTAATTCAAGTAACTATATTATATCCTATGAATTATGTTTTTCTTTTTCATTCTTGACTAGCTATATTAACCTATGTATAAATCAGTATGATCTCATTTGCCTTGAGGGTGTAATCTGCATCTCTATCCATCTGTCTATTCACTTATCTATCTATCTATCCATTTACAAAGAAAGAGAATGTGTGTTTATATATCTACATGCATAGATATCTCCATGTATTTCTATATGCTGTATATGCAAACTATATTGATATTTATTCCTGTAAATAAACTTTTTTTTCTAGGCTCATATTCTACTTGATTGTGGTGAAGACAATATCTGCAAACCTAAACTAGAAGTCTCTGTAGATAGGTAAGTTTTACTCCAAGCAGTAAATATTACCCCCAAGAAGTTTAAACAGAAGAGCATTTATCCAGTATTTTACTGAGAATAAGTTATACTAGAGGTAATTAACAATTTTTTGTTGTTGTTGGTCTCGGGGCTTGAACTCTGGGCCTGGGCACTGTCCCTCAGCTCTTCAGCTCAAGCCTAGCATTCTACTTGAGCCACAGCACCACTTCCAGTTTTCTGAGTGGTTCATTGGAGATAAGAGTCTCATGGACTTTTCCTGCCCAGGCTGGCTTTGAACTGTGATTCTCAGATCTCAGCCTCCTGAGATTACAGGTGTGAGCCACCAGTGCCGGCTAATTTATAATTTTATATAATCATAAAACTATTAATCTTGAGCCTAAAAAACATCTACTGTGTTTTTACTAGTTGTCTAGCCTGACAAGTAGTACAACTGTTCATCTCCAGATAGAATCATGAAATAGTATCACGTCTTCTGAAGACACTCATCATTATAGAAAGGCTTTTAACGCAAGGGATATCTTTACATTAGGAAGATTATTTGTGAGAATCATCACAAAGAAGGAATTCATCTTTTAGAGAAAGATCAGGGAAGTAAAAAGTCCACACAAAGATATAAAATTTCTTCAGCACTAAATATGAAAAATGGAAAAATATGAGTGGCATTAGTATTCACTTTTACTGAAGAAGAATTAGATTTGAACGTGTGCTATTTTCTGTTTTCTGCGGTGGTATGATAAAACCTTAAAATAGTTTGAGTTGAATGTGTCAGTGCTGTGTATTTATCTCGCCACTTTGAAGAGTCATGCGCTCCCCATGTAGTCTTTTTTCACAGTCTAGATTTATATTAACTTGCAGTGATCAAAAGAAGGTCTACATTGGGGACGACAACCCTCTGACATTGATTGTGAAGGCTCAGAATCAAGGAGAAGGGGCCTATGAAGCTGAGCTCATCGTTTCGATCCCACCGCAGGCTGACTTCATAGGGGTTGTCCGAAACAGTGAAGTAAGCCAATATGCCTCTTTAAAAATCAAAATGCCCTGACAGGCCTTTATTAACATTAATGAGCTAGTCCCCTGTTTAGTGAAGCAAAAACCTAGCTCTTCTACTTAAGGCTAAATTGCTAGATAGTCGCGTGCCTAGCTTACATAATTTCCTTTAAGCCTAATACTTTGCATAATGTATTGGCATGACATTTTTAGAAGTGCCTATGGAGGAGATTGGATAGATTAAAGTAACTAAGCCTGTCCATCAAATTAGAAGCATTGTAGTTACATATCTAAATCCTCTGGATAATCTTTCAAAAACACTGTGACATTTATATTTGGTCACCACAAATCTGGCTTCTCTCTTTCTCCATGTTTGCTCAGGTAGATTTATTTGCTTCTTAAAAAGGGGAACTTTAAATATGTAACTATATATTGTATAGGGACTTTATAGTCTTAGGGTTTCTGTTCTTCTGGCTTAATCTCTCTTTGTATCCTGTTTCTTTGTCCATTGAAGGCCTTAGCAAGGCTTTCCTGTGCCTTTAAGACAGAAAACCAAACCCGCCAGGTGGTATGTGACCTCGGAAACCCAATGAAGGCTGGAACTCAAGTAAGACATTTTGAATTGAATCACTTTTTCCCCTACAAAGATAATGCCATATTTTTCTTGGTCTTGTTTGTAGTAATAAAAAATGCCTATACATATTAAAATGCTGTCATCAAACTGATTTTAATTTAGTTTAATGATGAACATTGTTCTGTTTCCTTTTAACTAAGATACTACATGATGGTGATGCTTTATTATCGTTATGTAATAAGCTGCACCACATGGTAATCCATTTGATAAATAGATGAGATCATGGTTTAAATTAAGACTTGAAATTCTGATTTTCGTATTTTGAAGTAGCTAACACTTGAGTTGGTCTTCAGAAGCCAATCTGCTAGATCCCAGAACCGTCATTCTTAGATGAAATCAAGCTAGCTCATTAACTTGAATCCTTGTATAATCAGCCCACACAGAAGATCAAAGAGAAACTTGGCTGGATCAGGCTCCCCTTCACAAGAAGGGGCAGGGTTACCTAGAGATTGAAAAGAAGCACTGCATGGATGTCTTCCCAGATCCTCTAAAAAGGAACCAGAAATATACCTGGTATCATCCTAGGATCAAAGAAAACATGACAATATATGTTATGTTGCGTTTATAACAAGAGTTATTAATGATACATTGGTATAATCATATGAAGATATGTGTTATTGGGAGCCCAAATGTTCCACTGTCTTTTGACGTATTTTTCAAATAAAGGTCATTATTTGTAGGTGTGCGGTACCTTAGGAAAGAGAGCTTGAGTACATATCCTGAGTTCCAGTTTTTCATGTTTTCAGCCAATCAGAACACAACATGATTTCTGGTTCTCATTCTCCTTGTCTCCAGTTTTTCAGTGCATAACTCGTTCAGTGTAGGGAATTTCTGGCTACCCTAAGGGACCAGCCCCAGGCTTTGGAAAGTGGTGTATGTGGAAGAGAGGATCAGTCTGCAAGAGGTGTTATTTTTATATGTCATTTATGTATTTCCCCAAGACTCCTGCTGTCTTGTACCTGGTGGCTCAGATTTCTCTATAAAATAATCTGTGAACTTTCTAGCTGCAGGGGTTAAAAGTCCGGTACTTTCTGATGTCTATAGCTTGCTATTATCAAATTATTGTGCATAATTACTTTACTTGCCTTGGATCACCAAATATTTACTTTTGTCATTTTAAAATGATTTTTAATATCATAAGAAGGTATAAGTAATAGTTTTTGTTAAATGGATTCCACCATGGATTGGCCCAAGTATCTTGAATAAAAGTAAATAAAGGGAAAGTCAGATTTAAAAACTTTAGTTCACTTTTATTGGAAGCTCACAAAAACAGTATTTTAGAATGCTTTTGTATTTGGTCATTGGATTTGAAACTTCTAATTTCAGATAAGACATTGGTTAACATTCTGTTCTTTATCCCTTCTTGCAGCTCTTTGCTGGTCTTCGATTCAGTGTGCATCAGCAATCCGAGATGGATACATCTGTGATGTTTGATTTACAAATCCAAAGGTATCTCAATAGATTGGCTTAAATACTTTAAATACGATGGAGTTCCATAGGTTGATATGTTCATACATGATTGTAGAATTTTTAAGTCTATGTTATATGAATTATTATAATATCAGTTATGAATTTGTAAAGCAAACTTAAAAAATTAAAAAGTTAAACTCGATTAACTTCTTGGAATTAAATGCTAAGAAAAAAATAATTGTTTCGGCTTTTAAGTGTTTCATTCTGTTGCTGTTCTGTTCATTTTTTAGTTCCATGAGGTTTTATGTCTGGAAGACTTTTGATGATGGTTATGCTCCATTCAGTCCTAAAAATGTGTGTGTGTGTGTTTTTTTCTTTCAGCTCGAATCTTTTTGACAAAGTCAGCCCTCTTGTATCTTACAAAGTTGACCTTGCTGTTTTGGCTGCTGTTGAGATTAGAGGGTCAGTATAATTTTTAAGTTGAATATCTCCTTGTCAACATTGCTTCTGAAAAGTAACTCTAGGCCGGGCTCTGGTGGCTCAAGCCTGTAATCCTAGCTACTCAGGAGGCTGAGATCTGAGGATCGCAGTTCAAAGCCAGCCCGGGCAGGAGAGACCGTGAGACTCCTATCTCCAATAAACCACCAGAAAACCAGAAGTGGCGCTGTAGCTCAAGTGGTAGAGCGCTCGCCTTGAGCTGAAGAGCTGAGGGACAGCGCCCAGGCCCAGAGTTCAAAGCCCCACGACCGACAAAAAAAAAAAACGTAACTCTAGGCCCTGGCTTGTTTGGGCAAAAGACACTGTGTTTAATGGTGGTTCATTAGGCAATAAATGTTGTAGAAATAAGGCCGTAGATATATTCCAAGCTCCAAATATTTATTTGCTAGTCTTATGGGAAGAAAATATGGTAACAGTAATCTCAAAATATGTTTATTTGACCTTCTACACAAATTACTTTGGCAGTTTACCTGTGACCTGTAGATTTAGGTGTAGTGATTTTATGTATATGTGATTTCACTAGCTTTATGGCTTTTTATTTGCATGTAGTAATCATGAAAGGGTGATTTCATTTTGATATTTCCATACGTGTAGACAGTGTACCCCATCAGCCTCACCCCATCTCTCCCTCTCCCTTATCTCACTCCACATTCTTAAAACAACTTCAGTTTGTGTCACTTTTCTATTTTTATACATGTATATAAACTACTTTGATCATATTCACCCTCATTTACCCTCTCACCTCACCCTCCCTGCTCCTTCTGATACCCACTCCCCCAACAGAGCCTGTTTTACTTTCATGTCTAGTAGATTTATCTTTTAAGAATTAAAAAATTCCATTTTTATTTATTTATTTAGGAAATACTGGTGAATGAACTCAGAAACTCATACTTGCCAGGCAAGCACTGTAACAACTGAAACATTCCCTAGCTTTTCTTGCTTTAGTTTTTTTTAGATAGGGTGTCAGGCTTTACCCAGGCTGGTTTGGACCACTGTCATCCCAGCTGCCTCCTGAGAGGCTCATCTATAGGATGTACCCTGCTCAGCTTGTTATTTTGTATTTAGTCTTGCCTTGAACCACAAACCTCCTATCTCAGTCTCCTAAGTAGTTAGTAGTGTATTTGTGAGCCATTGCACCAGGCCTAAAGTTATTGTTTTTATTTGTGTGTGTATGTGTATGTGTGTGTGCGTGCGCATGTGTGCATGCGCATGAGTGCACATGCACTGGTATTAGTTTGAACTCAGGGCCCAAATGTTATCTCTTAGCTTTTACCACTCAAGTCTAATTCTCTAGAACTTGAGATACACTCTATTTCTTTTTCTTTTTTTGAGGAGGAGGGGGGTGCTGGTTAATTGAAGATTAACTCAGGTTGCCTTTGAACCTTGAACTTCAGGTCTCAGCCTTCTGAGTACCTAGGATTTACAAGAATCAGCCACCAAGCCCAGTTCCCAAGATTTTTTTTTATAGATATGATTTTATCCATTTTAATATAGGGTATTTTTGAAAATGACATTCATGGTAGTTTTTCTTTGATTATTGTTTAGGGTCTCAAGTCCTGATCATATCTTTCTTCCAATTCCGAATTGGGAGTACAAGGAGAACCCTGAGACTGAAGAAGATGTTGGGCCTGTTGTTCAGCATATCTATGAGGTCTGTACCTAATGGATTTAATGGAAACCTAGTGAGACAATCAACAAGGCAGCAGCTAATGTAGAAAACAGGCTACCGTTGTGTGTAAACTTTGAATAGCTAAGCACATAACAGATTTCTTCAAAACAGTTTGTATTTGTAAATTCATTTTTATTGGGCAAATAGTTTTAAAGTATTTATAGAAAACAGTTGCTATAATTTGTTACGATCAATTAGTTCTAGGTGAATAGAAGAAACAGATCGTTGGCTGTGTCGTCAATGGCATTTGTATTTCTGACTAAAAATTTAAAAATACCTATCATTTAAAAATACCTATCATAATCAAAATTTTATTTCTATAGGAAGAATATTTTTTTAGTGATTTATAAATAACTTCAATAATCACCTTTTTTTGGAGGTACTGGTGATTGAACTCAGGGCCTCATGTTTGCAAAGCAGGTGTTCTACCACCTGAGCATCTTTTTGTTCTACCACCTCTAGCACCTTTTGGCATTGGTTATTTTTGAGGTATGTCTTGTTTTATGCCCATGTCAGCCTAGACTTCAGTATTCTTGTATTTCCCCATCTCTGGGGATGACAGGCATATGCCACTGTCTCCAGCTACTGGGCTTTCTCTATAGCAAGGGGAATAGGTGCCAGCTATTAGATAAGAAACTAATGCCTGGACTTACCTTGAACCATGCTCTCCTGACCTCCACCTCCCACACAGAGCTAGGATTGTAGAACTGAGCCACAATGCCCAATATTTTTTAAAAATTTATTATTGCCAAGGTGATGTACAGAGGGGTTACAGTTACATATATAAGGTAGTGAGTACATTTCTTGTTGAACTTGTTACCTTCTTCCTCATTTTTTTCCACTTTCCTTCCCACTCATTGCCCCCAAGTTGTACAGTTCATTCCCAACATATTGTCTTGTGAGTATCGCTGCTGCATCGGTTCTCTCTTTGTCTTTTGTTGCACCGTTTTGTTGTTCTCCTTCTTTTCCCAAATTCAGATAAATATATATATAATACCCAGGGTACCAAAATCAAATCCAGTGATAATGGGGGATAAACCATAGGAAAAAGAAAAAAACAAACACAAAGGAAAAAGGAAATCACATTGTACATTAAAAACAACAACAAAGAAAAACTCCATGTCTTAGAGTTCATAGCATCATCTTATTGGTCATATATACATAGCTATTGAGCTGTTCTGCTCATCTGTTAGGACTATCCTAGACATGTACTCATTATTATCTATGAAGGAAACCATAGGACCTATGTTTCTTTGGGTCTAGCATACTTCACTTAATATGATTTTTTTCCAAGTCTTTTCATTTCTCCAACATTTTTTTTTTTTGTCAGTCATGGGATTTGAACTTGGAGCCTGGGCACTGTCCCTGAGCTCTTTTGCTCAAGGCTAATGTTCTACCACTTTGAGCCACAGTGCCACTTCCAGTTTTCTTGCATAAGCTGGCTTTGAACTGATTCTTAGATCTCAGCCTCCTAAGTAGTTAGGATTATAGGCGCCTGACCAACAATGCCTAACTTTAACTCTTGTTATATTTTCATCCTGATGTTCAAGAGACAGATTTGAGTTTGGTTCATTTTTATACATTGACTACATTTTAATCATTATATATTATAATTTTGAATCTATCAAATTAATTATTGAAGTCCTGTTTTTATATGACTTAAGTTTATAAATGGGAAGCATTATAGAGTAGATTTTTACCCAACTGATTTATATGTTCTCTTCTTTATTAGCTGAGAAACAATGGTCCGAGTTCATTCAGCAAGGCCATGCTGAATCTCCAGTGGCCATACAAATACAATAATAACACTTTGTTGTATATCCTTCATTACGACATTGATGGGCCTATGAACTGTACTTCAGATATGGAGATCAACCCTTTGAGAATCAAGGTACTGCTCTTACTGGCTGCTCTTTAATATGATGACCTCTTATTGCTTTCTTATTAAACTTAGCAATGAAATACCTGAAATGAAACAATTTAAATTCAGACTCTAAAAAAATATTTTAGTGTATAACCAGTAAACTCAGAATTAGATTTATATATTATGGGTAAGAATAAATTCTGTGAAGTCCTGAATATTTATGGAGTATTAATAAACTTGAGGAGATAATTTTTTCAATTTTTATTGTAAAGATGATATACAGAGGGGTTATAGTTATGAAGTCAGGTAATGAGTATATTTCTTTTTGAGCAGTGTCACCTCCCTCCCTCATTTTTTCCCAGTTTTTTTTCTCCCAACTCCCAGCCCTGCCCCCAAGTTCTATAGTTCATTTCTAGCAGTGTCTAGTGAGTATCACTGCTGAATTAATTCACCTTTTGTCCCACCATTTCTGTGCTTTCCCTTCCCCTCCCCAAATCAGAAAAACTTACATATAAGACAAAGGGTACAGAAATCTAAAACAGCGAAAAAGGGATAAAACAGAAGAGAAGAAAAAAAAAAGCACTGTAAACAGTACAATTAAAAAAACTCTTGTTTCTATTTCTTGGAGTTTATTTTGATAAGCATCATTTCATATGAGCATATGCACATAACTATTGAGACCTTGTCATCCTCTCCTAAGAATATCCTCCTTTGGAATCACTGTGTGAATGTTTAGAGTCTGAGGAGATATTTTTAAGACTCAATTTGTCTTTGATTGCATTGCATCTTGGTCTACCACATGTCTAATCATGTATTAAAGCTGTTAGGCTGTTGAGATTGCTGTCTTCAGAATAATAAATGCTATTTTGTAGAATTACATATACTTCTGAATAAAGACATCTGCATCCTAGAACATACATTTTCATAAGAAGCTATTGAAAGAGGTCTAAGTAAAGAAGACAAAATTAAAAATATACTCATAATTGATACTCATCATGGTTGTATTGTGGGATTTCGGGGTATTTCATGTGTTTACATCAGTTTTTCTTCTAGCAGTGCAATGGGAAAATTAGCTTTGGGAGAGCATATTCAGAACTTTAATCTTTGCTGTCTATTCTAGCCATTCACCAAACATCAAATGGTAAATTTGTCACATCAAATAGTCATATACCATTTGCCAATCATATGTAAGAGTTTATGTCAACCTGTCAATGTAAAATTTTTTCTGTTACTGTTTGCCACCACTTTCCAATGTCATCTAGATCTCCTCTTTGCAAACACCTGAAAAGAATGACTCCATTGCTGGGCAAGGTGACCGGAACCATATCATCACTAAGCGGGATCTCGCCCTTAATGAAGGAGATATTCACACTTTGGTAAGTGCTATTTCAAGTGTGTGATATATAGACAATTAAAAATATGTGATTGCAAGACTGATGCCAAAGGACATTTCAAAAATAACAACAGCAGTGCTGAAAGAACATCGCGTATTTTTATACCACTCAGCCTTCTTTGTTTTCCTTTTTCCTAGTCGAATTAATATACCTTTTAAAGTTATCTATCATTATAGATAAAATATTGTAAGTTCAGATTTATGTTCTTGACTGTCCTTTTAAACAGCCTCTTTCTTGATGTCACTGACCTTTGGTACTTTCATGACGTATTATAGAAGGCTTAAAATATACAGAAGAATAATTAACATTGTGCTTAACTTTTGTTGAGTCAGATTTCACAGTGACTGTGTTTGAAAGGAGCCTGTCATTTAGCTTTTTGAAAATTAACATCTGTGTTTATGTTCAAAAGCAATCATGATTCTTTTCCATCACCAAATTCTGTGGTCCTTCTTAAACCTTACCCAGTGTAATCGCTTGCTGACATTTGGGTCAGTTCATCATTGCTGAGATGCCACATTTTCATTTCTGTCTTCTACCACTGGCTGCTTCTTAGTCTCTGTTTCCAAGTTTCTACCTCTGGTTATTCCTGGGATCAACTTCAGGTTTCTTCTATGCTTCAAATCAAGTTCATTCATTCTGTGCTGTCCAGTATTGTCCTTGCCAGCCACCTTGGATGTATTCAGCAGACACAGGAAGCTGGTGGAGCCCTATCAGTCAGTGTAGACATCACATAGTCATGATTACCATCATCTTAGAAAGTTCTCTTGGACATTCTGTACTCTAGGCTATTGTTGAGTCTCGTGGTTGTAAATCCAGGCCTGGTACATGTGACATGGTGTGTATTTTTGTTCTGACCCTTTGTACTAAATTCTAGACTCCTAACTCTAATGTGCAACTGCTTAGTAAAACTCCATTTTCAATGAGTAATAGGATATTGAAACTTAATTCTGAGAATATACTTAGTTTTCACAATTTTTCTCTTTCCATAATGATCTACATGTATTAACTCAACTCCATTCTCTTTCTAATCCTGCATCTTCTATCTTTCTCCATCTCTGCCCCCTCTTCCTTTAGTCTTCATCCTACATTTCAGCAAACTTTTATCAAGACCTACTTTCAAAAATGCCCAGACTGACCCTTCTCACCAACTCTAATGCTGTGACAAATTAATGCAGATTAGCTTCCCTTTGTCAAATCCCTACTTGTTCTTTGAATTTCTGCCTTTGCATAGAAGACATCATGATTCTTTGACATACAGGCCAGGCCAGGTACCATTCATGTAATTTAAACAAATCCTAGCTCAAAAACTCCCAGCTCCATTGACACAATCTAGACTCTTCTCATCTCTAAACTTACATCAGGTCTTCACAGTCATTCTACTTCTTTTTTTTATTTTTAGTAATTTTTTATTGTGAAAATACTGTACAGAGAGGTTACAGTTACATGAGCAAGGTAATGAGTACATTTCTTATCAAGCATAGTTGCCTCCTCTTTTGTTATTTTCCTACCATCCCTTCCCTCCCACCTCCACAACTACACTCCCCCCACAACCTAAATTGTAAAGATCGTCTTCAACATGGTGTCTTGTACATCTCATTGTTACAGTGGGTCAACCTGTATCCCTATTTTCTACTTCTTCCAATTCATGCCTTATTTTTTTTTTTTTACTGTGTCATACATTAATTCTTTTTTTTCCCTCAAATTCTTTATTGTGATTAAGTGATTACATAATTTCCCAAATTTCACAGTGTTGTGGGATAGCGATGCTTTGTTAAAGTCACAAACATATTCTGACTTTCATGGGGCAAATTGTCTATCGTGGTCTATAACATTTATGTGTTCTGTGAGCTTTGACAACACAGTTATTTCTTCCACATTGGGTGGTATGTACATTTCTTTCTTTTTGCACAGCGTCAACTGTTCCCTCTTTCCCACTCATTCCCTCCCTCCCATTGCTGCCATTGAATTACTTAGTTCATTTTGATCACTATCCAGTGCAGCTGGAGGGTCCCACTGTTGTATGTTTTTCCCTGATTCCCTCTCGTTCTGTGTCTTCTACTGGTTTCCCTCTGGTGTGCACATATATTCCATATATATGATCAGCAGCATGGGGTTATTTAGTAGTGATTTGACCAGATGAGTAGAGGTCCTTTGTTTCTTAATTCTCAAGTCATATCACCTTACGATTTAGATTTAACATCCACTTATCAGGGAGACCATGTGCTGTTTATCTCTTTGCTCTTGGCTTACCTCACTCAACATTTCTTCTTGTTCTATCCATTTCCCTGCAAGTGCCATTATTTTGTCCTTTCTAATGGCTGCATTGTATTCCATTGTGTATAGATACCACAATTTTTGGATCCATTCATCTGTGGTGGGGCCTCTGGATTGTTTCCTTATCCTGGCTATTGTGAGCAGTGCTGCAATAAACATTGAGGTGCATGTGTCCTTGTATCCTGGTTGCTGTTGTTCAGGATAGATGCCTAGAAGTGGTAATGACTGGGTCATAGGGGAGGTCAATATTTAGCTTTCTGAGGACCCTCCAGACTGCTTTCCAAAGTGGTTGTATAAGTGTATATTCCCACTAGCAGTGTAATAGGGTTCCTCTTTCTCCGCATCCCCTCCAGCATTTGTCGTTGGCTGACTTTAGGATGTGGGCCATTTGACTGGGGTAAGGTGGTATCTCAGGGTTGTCTTTATTTGCATTTCCTTTCCAACCAGGGATGGTGAACATTTCCTCATGTGTTTCTTTGCCATTTTTATCTCTTCTTCTGAGAAGTCTCTCTTTAGTTCCCTTGCCCACTTAGTAACTGGTTTGTTAAGTTTGGGAGGGGTTAGCTTCTTGAGTTCCCTGTATGTACTGGATATTAACCCCTTGTCTGATATATTTCTGGTAAATATTTTTTCCCACTTAGTTGTCTTTCTAGCTTGGTTGCTATGACTTTAGCTGTGCAGAAATTTTCTTTTAAGGTATCCCATTTGTCAAGTATCTCTCCAATTTGTTGTAACCCTAGGACTCTGTTCAGGAAGTTCCTTCCTGTGCCTATTAGTTCAAGTGTCTCTCCTACTCTGTCCTGCAATAGTTTCAGAGATTCAGGTTTGATCTTGAGGTGTTTAATCCATTTTGAGTTGTTAGTGCATGGTGACAGACTAGGGTCCACTTTTAGTTTTCTGCATGTGGCCGCCCAGTTTTCCCAGAACCAGTAGTTGAAGAGGCTGAGCTTCTTCCACTGTATGTCTTTGGCTCCTTTGTCAAATATCAGCTGACTGTAGGTCTGTGGTTTTATTTCTGGATCTTCTATTCTATTCCATTGGTCCTTGGGTCTGTTTTTGTGCCACTACCAAGTTCTCTTTGTTATTATGACTCTATAGTAGAGTTTGAAGTCTGGCAAGGAGATCCCTCCCATGTTGTCTTTTTTGCCTAGAATTGTTTTGGCAGTTCTAGATCTTTTGTTGTTCTATATGAATTTTTGGACTGTTTTCTATATTTTAGAAATGTATGTCATTGGGATTTTACTAGGAATTGCATTGAATTTTATAATAATTTTGGCAGTATGACCATTTTCACTATATCAAGTCTGCCTATCCAAGAGCATGGAAGGTCTTTCCATTTCCTGATGTCCTCTGTAATTTCTTTCGTTAAGTTTTTATAGTTTTCATTAAATAGTTCTTTTACATCTTTGGTTATGTTAATTCCTAAATACTTTATTTTTGGGGGGGTTATTGTGAATGAAGTTGCTTTCTTTATTTCCCTTTCTGCTTGTACATTGTTGGTGTACAGGAAGGAGATTGATTTTTTTTGTATGTAAATTTTAATTTTATTGCCACGGTGATATACATAGGGGTTACAGTTGTGAGTACATTCCTTTTTTTTTCTTTTTTAAATGTTTTTTTATTGTGAAAATACTGTACAGAGGGGTTACAAGGTAATGAGTAAGGTAATGAGTACATTTCTTATCAAGCATTGTTGCCTCCTCCTTTGTTTGTCCCCCACCATCCCTTCCCTCCCACCTCCACAACTACCCTCTCCCCTCTCTGCACCCCCCCATATTGTGAAGTTTATTGTTTAACAGTGGCCTAAATTGTGAAGTTCGTTGTCAACAGTGTCTTGTACATCTCATTGTTACAATGGGTCAACTTGTACCCTATTTATGGAACCAACCCAGATGTCCCTCAGTAGATGAGTGGATCAAGAAAATGTGGTACACACACACACACACACACACACACACACACACACACACACACACACACACACACACACACACACACACACACACACACACACACACACGAATTCTATGCCTCCATCAGAAAGAATGGCATCACCCCATTTGTTAGGAAATGGAAAGACTTGGAAAAAATTATATTAAGTAAAGTAAGCCAGGCCCAAAGAAACATAGGTCCTATGGTTTCCCTTATTTGCAATAACTAGTATATGTCTGGGACAAGCAGAAAAGGTCAAAAACTATGTACATATGACCAGATAAATGATGTTAAGTGAAATGAACCCCAAGATAGGGACACAAGTGGTTTTTCTTCTTTCTTGCTAATGTTTCTAATGTATTTATAAAGTACCATGTGATTTCTTTGTTGCTTTGTATGTTCCTCCCTCATGGTATAACCCTTGTTTTCACTGTATTTGATGTCAATATAATTTGGGGAGGGGAAGGAAAAAACAAAATGTTTAAAATAGCAACTGAGTTTTGTATCCTGCTACTTTGCCAAAGTAGTTTATAAGTTCTAAGAGTTTGGGGATGGAGTTTTGTGGATCATGAAGGTATAGTATCATGTCATCTGCAAAAAGGGATAATTTAACTTCTTCCTTCCCTATGTGGATCCCTTTAATGTCTTTTTCTTGCCTTATTGCTCTAGCTAAGGGTTCCAGGACTGTATTGAAGAGGAGTGGAGACAGTGGGCATCCTTGCCTTGTTCCTGATTTTAGGAGAATTGGTTGTAGTTTTTCCCCATTAAGTATAATATTGGCTATTGGTCTGTTTATATGGCTTTTATTGTTTTAAGGAATGTTCCTTCTTTTCCTATTTTCTCTAGAGCTTTTAACATGAGTGAATGTTGTGTCTTATCAAAAGCCTTTTCTGTGTCAATGGAGATAATCATGTGGTTCTTGACCTTGGCTCTGTTGATGTTTTGGATTACATTTATTGATTTACGTATGTTAAACCATCCTTGAATCTCTGGATGAAGCCTACTCGGTCATAGTGTTTGATTTTTTTTGTGTGTTTCTGGATTCTGTTAGCTAGAATTTTGTTAAGGATCTTTGCATCTGTGTTCATCAAGGAGATTGATCTGTTTTTGCCTTGTTTGGGGATGAGTGTGATATTGGCATTGTAGAATTAATTTGGGATAGCTCCCTCCTTTTCTATTTCTCTGAAGAGCTTGAGGAGTATGGATATTAGTTCTTCTTTAAAGGTCTTACAGAATCCTGTTGTGAATCCATCTGGTCCTGCGCTTTTCCTTCTGATTACTTCCTGTATCTCATATTGCCATGCCTTGTTTATTGAACAAACAGCTACAAGCAATTTTCTGCCACCAGGCTTTGAAAATTGCCCTTCCTTTTGTTGGAATGGTTTAGACCGAAGGCTCTTATTGATCTTGTTCTCAGTCCTTACATGTTGAATTTTGACAGGGACAGCCCTGACCAATCCACATGAAGTAAAACTTGCCTTGTGCTCCACTCCTGCCTTGTCTCTACCATCCCACTTTTGATCTTGAACTATCTTTTAGAATTCTGTTCTTTAAAAAAATAGATAAAGGTTACATACAATTCATCATTTTAACCTTTTTGAAGTATATAAGGTAATGTTTTTTAGTATATTCGCAATACTGTACAACTATGACCATTATAATTACAAAGCATTATTATCACTTCCAAAATAAATGCTATACCCACTAAACAGTTATACTTATTCTCCTCAACCACCAGTCTCTGGTCACAGCTAGCGTGCTTTCAGTTCAGATTGTCCATGTAGGTCTACTGATTTGCCTACTCTGGACATAATTCATGTGCATAGTATCATACAGTATAAAGCCTGGTGCATCTGACTTCTTTCAGTTAGTGTGTTTTCAATATTCATTCACAAACGTGCATGGATATTCACCGCTCTTTCAGACACATTTTGGGTTTAAGAATGCTGAGTTCTAGCCATCAAAATTAATTTTTCACTATTAACAGATTTTATTCTCTCATAATAAATCATACAAAAACCAGTTCTTCTGTAAAGAAAACCTCAGGTTTAACAATGAGCCTATTTTAAGTGCTATTTGTACAAGACAGAAGAAACTAATCTCTCTGTCTTTTACATAAAACAAGTGAAATAAAATGCAGGATGTCACAACGTTAGAGTTGAGAGAGTGATCCTTTCTTGTGAGTAAATAGTTGCTTTTGCAGGGTTGTGGAATTGCACAGTGTTTGCAGATCATCTGCCAGGTTGGGCGACTGGACCGGGGGAAGAGCGCAATTCTGTATGTGAAGTCTCTCCTGTGGACTGAGACCTTTATGAATGTAAGTGGATGGAGTTACCATTCAGCACATTTATCCATTGGTGTTTCGAAGCAATGCAAACAGCTTGCCATCTGGGATCCCATCTCATTGTTATTTCCATACAGAAGGAAAACCAGAACCATTCGTATTCTCTGAAGTCATCTGCTTCATTCAGTGTCATAGAGTTTCCTTATAAGAATCTTCTGATTGAGGATATCTCTAACTCGACATTGGTAAGTGATTGATTTGAAGAAATGGAAAAAAATGCACTCAGTACAAATGGTTTTCTTTAGATGTTTTCTATTTGGTTTTTAGAGATGGAAGCTTAACTGTACTGATGATGTGAAGTGGTGAGGGGAGGGGAGGGATTTTAGGAGAACAGAATAGAGAGGGTGAACTTGTTCAGGGCACAAAGTAGGCATCAACAGAATTTTCATGATCAGACTCCCTGGTGCTATTGTGTGCTAATAAAAAATAGTAAAAGAAAAAGCAGTAAGGAATTGGTTGAGAGGATTACATCCTCTTTAACAGTATTACTTTACTCTTATTGTAGGATATTAAATCTGGATCTTTTAGCACCTTTTATTTTAGCATCCTATAGAGAAGAGGTTTGTTTTTTTTAAAACTAGGTACAACATTATGTGTAAATATTATCTTAGGATATTTTCTCCCCACAAGTTATGTAAAACAGAAATTAATGGCAACAAGTAAAGGCATATTTGAAAACCTGTAAAGACTTGAAATGGGATCAGCCAACATAAAGTGAATTAGATTATTTAAAAGCCATATTAGACACAATTAGAAATTAACCTGTTGTTGCAAGTTTCTATAGGTTTATCTGTGCTAATGATACCAAAATTGCAACTACTTAGTTTTTCTAATAAAAAAAGTAAAATGGAAATACCACTTGCTGACTATTTTGAAGCTAAAACTCCCTTTCCCTAACAGGTCACCACTAATATTACCTGGGGCATCCAGCCAGCACCCATGCCTGTTCCTGTGTGGGTGATCATTTTAGCAGTTCTAGCAGGATTGTTGTTGCTGGCCATTTTGGTATTTGTAATGTACAGGGTAAGTAATATGCTTGGAGAGAGGGAGAAGGGAATGGACACACAGAAGAAAAGGGGGAAAAAGAGAGGGAACAAGAATGATCACAAAAAATGATCCAGGCACCAGTGATTCATCCTAACGACTCAGGAGGCTGAGATGTGAAAATCACGGTTTAAAGCCAACCCAGGCAGAAAAGTCCCTATGAGACTTTTACTTCAAATAAACCATCAGAAAACCAGAAGTGAAACTGTGGCTCAAAGTGATAGTATGCTAGACTTGAGCAAGAGACCTCAGGGACAGTGATGAGGCCCTGAGTTCAAGCCCCACGACTGACCAAGAAAAAAAAGGGAGGGGGGAAGTGAAGCATTTATAGTGGTATATGATGGATATTAGTTATTGTTAGAGGGAAGAGAAATCTCATACAAAGTACCAGTTGAATTTCATTGGTGTGATGATTATGTACTCATTCAGTCTATGCTCATGTAATAGTAATGTTGGTTTTTCTTCCACTGATAGATGGGCTTTTTTAAACGTGTCCGGCCACCCCAAGAAGAGCAAGAAAGGGAACAACTTCAACCACATGAAAATGGTGAAGGAAACTCAGAAACGTAACTGTGATTTTTAAATTATGCTATATCATGACTCATGGGAGTGACCAACTTGACTATGGATTTGAATTTCCTTCACGAGAAGTGACATCTCAAGACCACTTTGCTGATGGAACCCATTGGCCTCAGTCTGATTACACAATTGAAAGCAATATTTGTCAGTCTTCCTTTTATAAATAAGTTTAGACATACATAATCCCCATGCAGTGACTTGTGTTTTGAGATATTTAAATGATGGATTTTCAACTGATGGTTCTTATTCATGTACATAGTACCTGAGTTAACTACTTTACATAAAAGAGTCCCTCCTACATCTACCACTTCTAATTTAGTATTTTGGGTTTTGCTGTTCATTGTTGTTATTTTAAAGCAATTGTAGTTTTAAAGCAATCCACATTTAGACCTTAACTTCTACAGTTTTGTACAGGTACTTAACTTTCTTACATAGTACACTACAGATGACTTTTCAAGCTATTTAAGACTTTGTAACTACATGAACATGGATTTTAATACCATTTATATGATGACTTTTTTTTAATGCATGATAACATCAAAGTTTGTTTCTAGGGCTTATAGCTCTGTAGTAAAATCATAGCTACTACGTTCAGGGTCCTGGGTTCAATCTCCAGCATGGGAAAAATTGTTACCTATAATAAAAACGGTACAATATTGAATATGAAATTCAGGTACATGTTATTAAATTTTTATTTATATTTAATCTATAATCTATTTTATTACACTGTAACTTGTATAGCTTAAGTTGTTCATCAAATTCTTTAAGCCAATCTATACTAAAAATTAATCCAGGATCAAAAATCCCTCTTTTGTATAATGGGTTAATTTCAGCTAATATAATGATACTTACAGCCATATGGAATTGGAAATTATTTTCAAAGTACATTTATTCTGTTGTTTTCATCTGGTTATTTACAATATGATACAAAGTATTTTAATAAGGATTAGCTTTGTAGTTCTCAGATATATTTGCTTATTAATAGTTCATTCTTAGATTGGAACACAGATTTTAGTTGTTCTTAATTTATTATCCACCTATATACATGTTTTTCCTTATACTTCCAAAATGGAGAGTGGGTCAAGATCCTCTTTATAATGTTCAGGACCCTAGACCCATACTTTCATCCCATGAGAAATACTTGGAGTCAAAACTCATAAGGTAGCTCGCTGGTTTGCTTCTAGCAATAGCCTGCTGCTACTCATGAAGAGTACCTCAGTTTAAGCAAGGTAAAGTGCTAAACCAGTCCTTAGTGCCACAAAGTATTTATATAAGCAGTTCTTGTTATTGAAAACTTGGTAAGCTTTCTTAGGTTTGTTAACATAAATTATGTTTCTGGTTTTTAATTTAAAAAACAGCATAGGCAGTGAGTTGTAGTTTTAAATACTTTGGTGGCAAATCTTCTGGGAGAGGATATGTGATTTATTTGCAGTTCTCCACGTCCTAAGGATGATTATCAAGTATACCTATTTTTAATGCAATTATGCCATGCTGTGCTCTAAGGGGTTGAGAGTTTTAATGGCTTGCTAATTGCTGTCCTCATTAGGCAATGATAAATATTTCCCTTAAATAATTGACTATTTTTCTATAATTGGAATTTATCTCACCATATCTTGTGGTATCATTCCCTGCATAAAATGACTGAGCTGATTAGGAAAAGATAGGCATAAAATGGAGTACATTTTAGGTGAGTTATGCAAGTTAGAATGTAGGCAAGATCCTGTATTTAGCACTGGTGAACTTTAAATTTTATAGGGTCTTGGAGTATTGAAGTTATTAGTGACTTAGAAGTATTTAACCATATGCAATAAATGTTTTTACTACCAATAATTTAAATTCTTTTAAGAAAAAAATTGACATTTGTCCTTGGGTTAAGTGTTTCCTACCATTAGTCACTAATTTGATCTGTAACAACTTTTATCTTACCTGTTTTCCCATGTAATGTCCATCATTCCTGAAAGAGAAATGTGTATATAGTTACTTTTACAGAAGAATTGGCATTGGTTAATTCTAAGCCTGTCTCAAGAAATAGTCTTCTATTAGATAGATGTGATGCTGGAATTGAAAATTAACACGGTGTTTTAAACTGACTTTATGATGTTTTATTTTCAGCAATAGTATGGGTTTTCCTTCAAAAGTGAAAATGTTTATTGCAATAAAAATATTAACTAATTTGAAAGTCTGTTTTCTAAAGAAAGCATTGAGATTTTGTTTTATCTTAGAGTAGCATATATTTGACAAAATAACAAAAAATAGTTCTATGAAATCCCTGTAAATCTCTAAATATTTTAAAATACTATTGTATTTGTAATTTGTTGAGAATTAATATTTTTCCTAAAGTATAAAATTCTCATAATCCAGTTCAGTTTTTAAAAATTTGAATGAGCTACAGTATATCAGATGCATTTCACAGAGGTGAAAAACATAGATACTGTTGGTTTCTTATATAGATATTTATTTCAGAGTTGAAAAATTGACAGATATTTATATAAGAGTCATAAATTCTGATAGATTAATTTCTTAAATTCTGTTTAGATTCTGAAAGGTAAAACAGTTAAGTCAAGATGTTATCATCCCCATTCTACCTGTACTTGAAACTAGTGATTCATAGTTAATCCTCTTAATACAGTATTTATACTTGCATAAAGAAAAAGTTCAAGAACTAATAAATAAGACTTTTCTTGGTACTTTCAGAGAGCTGTGAAAGAGTTCTGATAGTGAATTATGATTCACAGATATATGTGAAGAGTCAAATATCACAGAATGTATAAGTTTCTATATTCAGTGTACTGTGGGCCTGATGGAGAAGAGATTGATCCTGGAACTCTGTTGTGTGGACATTGCCTCATTCAGTTTACCTATTTGAACCCTTAGCTTGTCTATATAGTAATTTCAGTAAGTTAAGAATGAAGAGAGAATTTGCAAATTGAGTATGGGATTCAAAAAGGTAAATGAAATAATACTTAGTGCTTGGGAAAGTGTTTCTTTTAACCTGGTGGTTGGCTTATTTGAACAATGAACCTCCAGCTGTGCAGTGTACAGTGTACACTTGGATTTACTGTAATTTCTTATATGGAATGAATTTCTTGAAAGAGGTACTGAATCTTTTGATTTCTGTTGTCATTGTTTTCAAGTGCAATATAACAATGTAACCAAACCTAGATAATAGCAAAATCATTATTAATTTCGTAAGTCTAATCTAAATAGTGATTTAGTTGTGCTCTTATTACCGGGAAAGAGTGATTCTGTTGTGGTTATGGCAGTAAAATTACTCACTCGGAATGGTCCATTCTGTATTTTATTTCAGGATGGACATGAACTATTCCTTTCAGATTCTGAAAACTTTGAAAACTTGGAAGCTGTGTATATCAAATTAATTTACTGCCTAAGTAACATAGAAAATGATTGTCTTTGTTTAGCTTCTCTTGTGATTACCCACATTGGGTGAGACATAAAGTATTCTCAACTCTGTCATTTGCTAACTTGGTTTGAGTTAGTGAAAGCCGGTACAGTGTTCTGCCTAGTTTCCAACATGTAACTTTTGACTGTTCAATAAACTTGAGCTATGGTGCCATGTTTTCCTGTGGACTTCTTCTTTCAGAGACATGCCAGCAATCATGCATTACTATGACCTCAGTGTGGTGACACATTCTCTAATAATCCAAGCTCCTAAGAGCATTAGTCACTGGACGAAAGGAAACCAAAAACAAAGAGGACCTAATGTTAAAATACATCATTGGAAAAATGGGTACAGTGAAGAGCGGTTAATATGATTGAAGCACTTCATATTCATGTATCAAAAGATCATAATGAGATCTCAAAACAATTATTTATGCTAATAAAAATAAGAAAATGCATTCTTGGAAAGGTCAATATGTATTTGGTTGAAATGTAAGAATCCTTTCATCTCTGGGGTTTTTTTGTTTATAATTTTTTTCTTTTATAGTTTTGTTGTGTTTTTGTGTGGTCGCCGTTTGTTTAATTGTTTGAATCACATTATTGCTAAGTAATGAAGGTGACTTCATCATCCTCCAGCTTCCTCCTTTTTAGTGCTAGGGTTATACACATGTATCGCTGTGTCCAACTGAGAATCCTTTCATTTCTAAATAAATTCTAAGTGTCATTACACTGAATTTAACTTATAGATTCTTTCAAAAATACACATTTAGGATGGGAATATAGCTTAGTGGTAGTGTGCTTGCCTAGCATGCATGAAGCCCTGGGTTTGATTCCTCAGTAACATATAAACAGAAAAAGCTGAAATTGGTGCTGTGGCTCAAATGGTATACTGCTAGCCTGAGCAAAAGAAGCTTAGGGACAGTGTCCAAGCTCTGACTTCAAGCCCAAGGACTGGCAAAAAATATCAAAAAACAAAAACATACTTACACTTACTGTGTGTTCATCAGTGGTTTTCATAAAGATTGAACATCCTCTACCAGCAAGTTCAGAACCAAAATTTTCTGGGGATGAGGTCACTGTGAAGGTCAGGAAGCTTATCCAGGAAGGGCTGCTGACACTCCAAAATCTGAAAAATTCTGAGATATGAAAATATTCCCGTCCCAAGTTTTTCAGAGAAAGGAAATGCTTTGTGTGGAAGTTCTGTATTGGCTGAGTGTGGCCCCTAATACCTTAATACTAGCTAATCAAGAGGTGGACCTCAGGAGTATTGATGTTGGATACTAGCCCTGGCAAAAGTTTAGTTACAGTTAGTGAAGTATGGTGCAGTGCCATGTGCCTGTCAACTCAGCTATGAGGGTAGAATAAATATAAGTGAATTAAGGTTCAAGCAGTCTTGGGCACAAATGCAAGACCCGACTTCAAAAATAACCCAAACAAAAATGGCTGGAGTCATGGCTCAGGTGGTAGAGCGCCCGAATTCAAATTCAAGTACTAAAAAGAAACAAGGAAATGATTTGTCCTGTATGTAAGTTTATCTGATTTGGGGAGAGGAAAGGGAAGCACAGAAACGGTGGGACAAAGGGCAAACCAAGTCAGCAGTGAAACCCACTAGATACTGTGTTGGAAGCGAATTTTACAACTTGTGGAGGAGAGGGAAAGGAGTCAAGAGGAGGAAAATGGGAAAGAATGGGGGAGTGGGTGACACTGTTCAAAAGGAAATGTACTCATTCCCTGACTTACGTAACTGTAATCCCTTTGTATATCACCTTTACAGAAAAAAATTAAAAACCTTAAGAAAGAAAGGGAAGAATAAGTTCTATAAATGTTTGAGGAAAGACAAATGTTAAATGTGATTTTAAATACAACACAACGTAACTTAGATATGAGCCCAAATATCACAAGGACCTCCATGAATATTTTAAGTTTTATGTTCCAATAGTCACAAAATGTTATTAATATAAGGTGGTAATATATGGTCTTTTAAGCATGAAGTCAGAGATAAAATATTTGTTTAAAGAAAGCATTAATAACTGTACCAATAGATTGGTGAATCATTAAGTAATTTCAGCCAAAAGACTGCTTTTTTTTTTTTTGGGTCCGGTTGTGGGGCCTGAACTCAGGGCCTGGGCGCTGTCCCTCAGCTCTTCAGCTCAAGGCTAGCACTCTACCACTTGAGCCACAGAGCCACTTCCGGTTTTTTCTTTTTGCTTATGTGGTGCTGAGGAATCGAACCCAGGGCCTCAGGCATGCAAGGCAAGCACTCTACCACTGAGCCACCTTCCCAGCCCCAAGACTGCCTTTTTTTTTCAAGATTATTTTTGCTGTGTTTTATCCAAAGTTTTTGTTCGGTATTGTTACTGTTTGATTTTTTTTTTTCACGGTTTGGCCTTTTAAAGACGAAATCTCTATATAGTCCAGAATGGCCTCAAGCTCATTATGTAGCCAAGGCTGGCTTGAAATTTGGGATGCAGCCACCTTAGCCCCTCAAGTGCTGAGATTATAGGTATGCACCACCATTGGTTTTTGAAATAAGACATATACAACTAAATAAAAAGGAGAATTGATTTTACATTGTCAAAAGAAGAAAAATCAGTAAATGTTACCATGGAAGGTAGCTTTTAGTATAAACATGATGTTGGTTAGTATTTATTTCCTGAAACATGTAGCTATTCTTGGTTTTTGAGACGTTCCTGTTTGCTCCCTGCTTCTGTACCCTGAAACTATTTTAAAAAATGCCAATCTTTCTTGCTACTTCAAAACAACAACTGCTGACATAATCACCATTTTGATAAATTAAGACTTTTAGAACTAAGTGTGATGGTGCAGGTCTGTAATCCTAGTACTTAAGAGGCAGAGATAGGAGGATATCCAGAGTTAAATTAGTAAGACCCTCTTGGCAGACAAAATTTTATAAAGGGTTAGGATGCAACTCAGTGGCAGAGTGCCTGCTTAGCATGTGAGAATCTCCAGGTTCAATCTCTAGTACTGAAAAGGAAAAAAAAAAAAAAAAAGGAAGGGTAGGAAGGAAAAAGAAAGAGGAAAGAAAGACATGTTTTGCCATCATAGAGCCAGCCTGGCAGAGACAAACAAGGTGCTATTTGTTGAATAGATATAGTACTAGATTTTAACTTTTTGTTTGGCTAGTTGATTCTGTTCATTAACAATGAGAGGAAAATGAAAAAAAATGAATGTAATGATAAGATTAGAATCATTAAGACAAGTGTGATAATTTTGGGCTTAATTATGTAATAGTTTGGGATCCAGTTTAAATTTGTTGACAGTTTTCACAGTTGAGGAAAGATACTCATTAGAAAAAACTAGTATTAAAAATGAGTAAAATGCTGATAATATAGCTAAAATTTGTCTAAAAAGAAGCGAATGATGAAGGATATAACATCTCAATAAGGGGAAATCTATAACCTTAAAACACTCAGGAATTGTTTATTTTTATAATTTATTTTTATAATTGTTTATTTTTGCAATCCTTAAACACAAATGAAGAAGGCAATAACAAAACACATGCTTTCTTGTGGCAAGAAGCTTAACTTGGTTTAAGAGATGACATAAGTCGGAGCACTAACCACACTCAGCTGTCACCACGGCTTGATCGTGTCTTGCCAGTGTTTTCTAGTCAATCACAGCGCAAAGTATGATTTCCATAAGTAGCTGAGGACAATCTTGCTAAGTAGGAAAAAGATGGACGTTATTTCTTGTCTTTGCTAATGCCAGAAGATGATTTGGGAAATACTGCTGATCAAGGGTCTCTTCCTCTGGTCACCTGTGGTAGGTAATCTTCCAGGAACCAGAAAATTGAGTTGTTAGCTGTGCATTGGGTGTGAATCACCTCATTGCCCACTGAGGGGAAGTATGTCTATTGCTGTACTTACAAAACTGGTAGCGCTAGGCGCCTATGGCTTACGCTTATAATCCTAGGTAATCAAGAAGCTTAGATCTGGGGGTTGCAGTTCAAAGCCAGCCTGGGCAGGAAAGTCTGTGAGACTCTTATCTCCAATTAGCCACCAAAAAAATGGAAGTGGTGCTGTGACCCAAAGGAGTAGAGCACTAGTCTTGAGCAAAAAGTTCATGGATAGCACCTAGGCCTTGAGTTCAAGCCCCACAACTGACAAAAACAACAACAAAAATCTGGTACGAAAGGATGCCAACGTCCAAACAATAAATGTAAGCCTGAAGATAGCTCACATGGGAAAAAGAAGGGGACAGCTGAATAACACAAATAAAGGATAGTGCAGGCCACTGTAAAGTGTGTGTGTATATGTGTGTGTGTGTGTGTGTGTGTGTGTGTGTGTGGTTTTGCTTTAAAAAGTGTTTTGATTACTAAAAGTTCATAGACATTGAGAGAGGTCTGGTGGACAGGATACAGGACAGCATACTAATGTAAAGTACTTCCTGGGTACCTGGGCTTATGTAAATTCAGAAGTTTCCAAGAAGCAGCACATGTTTTGAAAAATAACAAAGTAGGTTACTTTGGGAAATGAGAAAATTAGGAACAACACTTTAAGCCCAAAAGAAGCTGTATGAAAATGTGAAAGAGCAAAACAAGCTGTTTCCTCCACAACAGAACTTGTTTTAATAAATGAAATGCAGAGATAATAAAATGAAGCTTTAAAAACTTCTGGGGGGCTGGGAAGGTGGCTCAGTGGTAGAGTGCTTGCCTTGCATGCCTGAGGCCCTGGGTTCGATTCCTCAGCATCACATAAGCAAAAAGAAAAAAGCTGGAAGTGGTGCTGTGGTTCAAGTTGTAGAGTGCTAGCCTTGAGCTGAAGAGCTGAGGGACAGCGCCCAGGCCCAGAGTTCAGGCCCCACAACCGGACCAAAAAAAACCAAAAACCAAAAACCAAAAAAACAAACTTCTGGGAGCTGAGAAGGTGACTCAGTGGTAGAGTGCTTGCCTTGCAGACATGAGGCCCTGAGTTCAATTCCTCAGCACCACATAAACAGAAAAAGCTGGAAGTGAAAAAAACTTTTGGGAGTTAAGCTGAAATAGCAAAAAGCATTGTCATAAATGGCAAAACAAAGCAGTGAGCTAGAGCGTTACTGTTACCTAGAAAGTGCTTTGTGCTACTTTACGCCGTACTATGCCAACACTACAGAAGTAACCATGTGCCACGCTCTTTACATCGCCTGCATTAGAACTGACATTTGAGCCAGCAAATGAA